AAGAAAACAGTCTGAAAACATAAATGATTTGATTTAGCGCAAGCCTGCCGTATAAGGAAAAATCTTACCTATTGTTTTAACATTCAGAGCATGTCATCTAAAACCAAAGGATGTGCAAAAGGCAATGCATTGCTAAAATAGCCGCAATAGTGCACATTTCTACAACCGCTCTTTTCTCTCTGTCAGAGAATCCTGCATATAAGGCAAGTCTCCACCTGGCAAATTATGACAGTTTTCCTCAATTACACATCTGTTACAAGATGCACCATGATCAACTCTATCTAAAAAGAGTATATTGTTTCCATTATAGTTGGACATTTACATTAAAACACAAATAGTTTATTTGCTCATCTGTCTTCCTGGCTTGAGGCCAGTAGCTTTCCTGTTTTTTATTAGGTGCAGCATAATCTAAAATAGAAGCTGAATAAAGTAATTGACCAAGAATGTAGCTCCAGATAATATTGTCCGTGTGCCCTACTCTGTCTTTCCCTTTTTGTCTCTCCCTAGGGGAAAAGCAGTTATCTTCCTTATGCTAAATCCAGTTTTTCTCCACAGCTATCATGTAAATCTTGGCATCAGTCTTACAGCAGAATAGAAAGTCAAATCAGCAGGAAACTTCCACATAAGAGCAACAGGCAGCCCCAGGAGGAAAAAAACCTAACAACCCAACAACAAAAAACCCACCACCAACAACAAAAATATCCTCTCAAACTCTTCCATTTATTTTCTCTCAAAAATAACAGTTCTACTCATTAAAACACTCCAATTTTCTTGTGATTTTTAAGATAATATGCCTTCAGAGAATAACATTGTTCAGCAGACTTGCCAGCCTTCCAAGGCGTTTTATTTCAAAGCCTTTTTCGGAATAAACAAATCTGTAAAGAGAACAAATTGATGTTTCTGCTTTTCCTAGTGTTCTGCATACAGGCCATACAAGCTGTCTTCTCTCAAAATGGGTCAAGCCTTAAATTACTGATTTAAAGTAACAAAAAAATTGTTGTGTGTAGCTGTTGGGATGGATTTTGCATATTTTTCCTAAAGACAAACTTTAAAGCCACAAAAAAATATTTTGAGTTCTTTATTATGACAGTTCTACATATTCAAAAATATTACTATCAATTTTATTATGGGTACTTTTAATGTTTAGAGGTATGGAAAAGGAAAATAAGTATAATACAAATAACTACCATATAAGCATAATGACAACATAATGAATCCAGAAGTGTGGTTTGTAATTGAATTTGAACGTACTGGACTGATGTACAAAACATCTTTGTATCCAGTTACTACATTCCGCAAGAGCTTACTTTAGCATGAATTAGTTCTTTAAGCTATTACGAACTATCTTACTTGTACTAAACTTGATTTGTCCTCCTCAAAGTGAGAGAACGATTTACCAAGGTTATAAAATACAGAATGCATACTTAGATATAAAGATTGTTTATCACCTTTTAATGTAGGAAGTAGGCCTGGGCATTGCTGTGAAGAAGAGCTCAAAGCATGCACAAGTGCAGTCAGATCCCTTGTTAGGGGGGTTCCTGTATTCTTTCTGGGTTGGCACCTGAGTGACAATTGAAAATTCCCTAGTCATACCAATAATGACAAATCACGTTACGGAGAATCAGAATTACACTGAATTTTGCCACTAAATTGACCTAAACACGAATACTTAACTTTGTGGATAACCACAGTGCTCTGCCTATGTCAGCACTCCCACTGGTCTAACAGTAAGAGTCAAAACATCTTGCAGCATGGACAGGCTGAGAGGAGAAGTAAGCAATTAGATCAGGAAGTAGCACCAGTGCCACATGTCCCAAATAGCTTTCAGTGGTTTGAGATATTCAGTAGAATATATCAGAAACATGCTTACAAAGCCAGTATCCACAAATAGAGTAAATTAAGAACAGAAACTGTTAGCATAGATCAGAGGGGAGAACATTACTTTTTGATGATTTGAAATCCAAACTGGCATTAATGTTCATTTTTTTTCTGGGCCAAATTTAATATAAGACTACAAAATCAAGTGGCAGAAGTTAGTTTCATTTTTTTCCCCCCTACTTCTTGCTACTTTTGTATCTTTTTTATGAGCTTCTCCCTAAACTTTCATGCTCTCATTCTTTTTATTGCTTCTTTTAATTAAGCTTCTACTGGCACAGGAGTTACAAACAGCAGTTTAAGAAATCTGTAGAGCAGCATATATTTTCCAGTATCAGAGGGATGAAGAAATATCATATTTCAATTGTCCCATATAAGTGAATATAAAAATAAATATATACATTATGATATGATTGTGTGTTTTACGTCTACTAAACTTGAAATTTTATTTTAAAGCAGATGACTCATTGTATCATCTAAAGCAGGGATAGACTAGCATCTGCCAACAGCCATTGTGGTAGTGCTTGCCACCTAGTGGATTAGTGCTTGTGTACACGTATAATGAGAAAAGCCATCTGCTACGAGAGTGTTTGCAAATCTGCATATTTAATAATATCCTGCAGACTTTTTGTACAGCTGGATGGAATTGTATTTTGAATGAAATACCGTTGAATATTGAAATTTAAATTGCAAACATTTTAGTATTTTTTATCTATTTTCTTACAGCTGTATTTATACCTATTGCTTGACCTAATTTGTGATGGGCAAAAGATGGACTTCCTTTGTGTTTGTTGTAGTTCATAGACTTTAAATAACATACCAGTTGGTCTAGTAAAAGACTTGAGAGTCCAGAGTCAGTAATTTTGCTGACTTAAAGACAGTGGAAAAGACATGTATAGTACCTACAGCCTCAGCTTAATGCCCCGTTTTTAAAATCTTTTGATGTTATGCCATAGCCTTTGATTTAAATAGGCATGGTACATTCTCCTCCAATCAAGGACAAACTGAAATGAAAAATGATATGTTTGCATAATGTAGGTTTTAAAAGGCATCAATGCCTTTTACTTGTAAAATTTACTTCTACAATGCCATATCTTACTACAAAATGCCTGTCTTAATAGAAGGAATTTCACCCATTTGTGGAGTAGAATATAGCATTTTTTCAACTCCCCTGAACACGAGTATATTTTAGGAGAAGGTGCATCTAATATTACACCAGAATAAAGGTACAACAGAAGAAAGTGAAACAGAATGAAAATTATGACCAAAATTTAAAATTTGATCAGTATATAGTGGTTATTTTTTTATTATTATTTTTTTTTAATAGCAGAAAAGAACAGTGAAGTCTACAGCACATATAACTCCTCAGATTAGTTGTAGGATGAGATTCCACATTTATCTGTATAGCAGAAACCTTAGTTATGAAGTTTAACCTTTTTATTTAATGCAGTTGTTTGGCATTGCTACTATTCAGCAAATACACAGGTGGTTGAATTAGATCCATAGTGAATGAATGATTTTACTGGGACTTAGCCTTAGACTTTTTGAAGAAGAGTCATATAATTAAGAGATCTAAATAATGCTTAAGATTAAAATAGTAGAGTATATAGTGTAAAGTAAATCCACCTAGAACTTCATTGCTTTGTCATTGACCATGGCCTGAATTTCTGTGCCTGAAGAACCAGTTTGCACATTTCAGAGGCAGGGTGGGAGCCAAGTAGTCAGTACACATGGCCATGGATGCAACCGTAAACTCAAGCCTCAAGCTGACATGTATTGGTTGGTAGTTTGCAATGGCCACAAGTGTCAAACCTGAGCTAATTGAAATTTATACTAGTTGTTTCTTCTTCTGTCAGAGCTAGCTTATTTTTTTTGAGTTCTGTTATCTGCATTGAGTAACTGGATTTTCTCATTTTACCTCCCCTCTTCTACAAGTTGCATTACTTGGAGTGGTTTTCATCCATTTTGTTGACCCATACTTATCTCTTCCTATGTTGTAATTTACTCTTTATTACATCCCACTAGTCTTAAAGAGATCAAAGGTGTTGCTCATACCATAATACAATGCAAAAAATCTGTATATAAGGATTCCATCATATATTTGCAGAAAACACGCCTGCACACAAATGCAGTCCCCCCCCCACCCCCAACTTTGATTCCTCTCTTTTAAGTGTGAATATAATTCAGCTTGTATTGAATTTTGAAATGACCAACATACTGAGAAGATATAGAGTATTTTATCAGAAAGGCCCTCCAGCAGAAGACAGTTAAGAGAAGTTATCAGATACAGGGAATTGGTTTGAATGCAGCAAAATGAGGTTTGACTACAGCAAGTATTCTGTTGTAGTAATGATTGTAACAGTATTTTTTTACTCCTCCATGATTGTGATCATGTTAGAAAGGTTTAGCAAACAAATGTACATGTATGATATCCAGGAGTAATGAGTTTATGCTTTACACTCTGAGAAGATTTTCCAATTACTCTTAACCAAAGTCAAGAACATACTTTAATTCTTACTTTGTTGCAGATCTGGTCATACAGATGGTTTTGTTATTTATAGCATTTTATGATCAATAACCTATTGATGAGTAACTTGATGTGTGGATACATTTTTATATGTATGCGTATATCATTTCTCAGTTTGGGTCAGAACATTCTGTGAGTTCACAACATCTGCTCTGTGTTGTTTGCCTGTTGCTATGTGTCTGACGGTATTTGGATCTTACAGCATGTTATGTGACCATTTAACAGTCATACATCAGAATTTATGATCTTTCCTTATTTGCAATGGCAATCTCATGCCTGAGGATATTTTTTCCCCTCTTACAACTGCTATGGGAAAGTTCTAGTATCATCACGAGGTGTAATACAGATTTTCTTTAAACAGTGAACTCCTTCATTTTCCATTGTATACTGATTATCCTTCTAGTACTACACAGTACATAAATTTCTTGAGGAATATCATCAGCAATACTTGGAATATTTTAATAAATAAATAAAAAGAAATAGTGTAAAATATCCTCCTATTTTCAAAAAAAGTAATCATATGAGTAATTCAATCTTTTGCCAAATTTAAAAAGTTGTGTTTTAGTACCATAATATAAATCTGCACTCAGTGGTATCATAAGCTTGAAAATTCTTTTTTATTAACATAAAACAGAGTAAGAAAATATACATTGTAATTAAACATTTGCTTTAATCTACAAGTAAGTAAGGCAAGTAACAAAACAATAAAATAATTCTTTACGTTCTTGTGAACAATTAGAAACAGAGGAAAGATTTTTCAGATATGAAAACAAAAGGAAGTCTTTCGTATTAGAAAATATTTGGCAATATCAGATACTCTCTCAATAAAATATCCAAGTTTATAAGTAATCCATATTTACAATATCATATGCAATCTTCATGGCTACATGTAGTAAGATGTGTACATATAATTACTGTACATTCAATTTTAAAATCTAATTTGCACACCATTATCTTTCAGTTTCATTAATGTCAGAAAAAACACTGTTCTGCCTTTGTGTTCAGTACAGCAAGACAGCAAGTATATTAAAAGTAATTATTTTTTCAGACATCTTAAAAATAGTACTTTTATTGGTAGGTTTTGTAACTTCCTGTTTTAATGGGAATTCAAACTTGGACTGTAAGCTGTACAATCATGTCCCTGTAAAAACGTAACAATGTAGATGTTCGCACATGCCAAAAACTGGTAAAAAAGCTAGAATTATAACTTCTTTTTATATCTCTGAAAATGCACCCTTTTTATTTCCTGTGTTGATACCACTGCACATAACTACAGGTAAAAAAAAATAAAAAAATCTGTATGAAAGAAAAAGTGATGGAAGGCCCCTTTGAGAAGTGGCTGTATGAGTACATTTTTTTCCAAAGAAAATTACTCTCCCAAGTCCTATGTATTTTTATTTAGCACTTGAACTAACCTTATATGTTGCAAGGATACTTACAGATCTTTTAAATCAATTTAGAGCAGAAGCCAAAGTCTATAGCATGTTGAGGCTACTTTAAATGGCACACACTAAGGTTGAGCAAGGTTTTGGAGCTTGGAGCTACTCCCAGGGACCCTCCAAAGTTCAAAGCAGCCAGAAGCCCACACCACACAAACGAAATATCACTGATTACCTGCTTGTAACGATAATTGCCCAGAATGGAATCTCCCAGCTCCCATTGAGTTTCTTACCATTGTGTTTATCCTCAAAGTTGAAAAACAAAAATAGAGTCTGACAGACTACCTCCAAAAGTTTGCTAATCCTTGTTTTTCAATTAGTTTTATATCATCAGAATAGAGAAGTAAAGAAACGCCACCTTTCTTTTTCAAGTGTCATGAACAGTTTGTGGAATAAAATGGAAAACAAAAGGCTGGTTACTGTAGCTTAAATTTAAACAGCATGTTCACCCAGAAGTTGTTATTTTGATACTTCTAAGTCAGTGTTGTAACAAAGGAAATAAAAGGGTTTTTTTCTTCCCAATATACAATACGGTTAGAGTTTATTCCAGAACAGTCCTTGGACTACCTTGCACACATGCACACACTTTATATTAGATGACTCAGTGCTATGCAAGGATTGAATGGGCTCATGTTCAAACATAGATGAGACTCAGCAACAAAGCAATACACACCAACTTAAAGTTGCCTGTGGTCCTCGTGTTGTGAATTGCATACATGAACTCATACTTCAAAAGCATTAACAGAGCATCTCACACAAAGACTAGATGTGCATCCACCAGCTGTAACAAAATGCTTACTGATTTCACCAGAAACACAGGCTTATTTGAGCAGAACACAAAGAGATCACAAGAAAAAATGGTAGCACAGTTTAGTGTTCTCCAGAAGCTACAGCAAATCCCTTTTGCTACTTAATATGTAATATACACAGTAGGATGCATAACATCATGTCAGTTGAGCACTCATTTCAAGTAAAACAAATGTTCTCATTTTTCTTTCAGAAAGCTGCTAGTAGTACTGCTTGGATTTTATGCTGTAGCTGCCCAGAACAATTTTAGGGAAAACAAACGATTGTGTAGAGCTTGAAAAACAAGGAAAAAGCTGTCCAATCCATTGTGCACACTGGGACTGGACAAGCGTTTTCTCACATGAAACAGGTCACCAATGCTAGATGGGTCTTAAGCATCCACATGTATATGTAAGTGAAAGCAGAACTCTGGGATGTAGTCCTTGAGTACCAAATAGCACAATAGGTAACTTTTTTTTTTTTTCTAATAATGTGCTCTGCTAGCTTTCTATACTGCACTCACCAAATAATTAAATGTTATCACAAATCAAATAACAGGAACTGAGGTGCTTTTTGTCAAAGATGCAAAATAATGCATAACCAAAATTGTTTGTATTAATGCAACACTAACTACAAAAATATGTATTTGCCAAAGTTTAATATGTTTGAATATTTTAATTAGATAGATGCAAATTTATCTAGCCTTAAAAAGGAAATGATCTAATGCCTGAAACAGTCTATGCAACATGAAGAATGGTAAATTTAGAACAGGTATTGCAGTTACCAAGATGACTTTTAATGGGTTCTGTAGCGTTTAGAAGACATTATAATAGAAAGGCTCGTCACTTTGGAAATGTGCAATCAAAATAATCTATTACAATTATTCTTCTGTGGTAATAAAAAAGTATTGTTTGTATCTGTGAAAGAACTGAATGAGCATAATACATTAATACACTGATTACTAGAAAGAACTATAAAACTAAAGTGCCAGTAGAGACTTGAACTGCATTATTTAACGCTTTAATTTCAAATAAAAGAGGTCAGAGTTAATGTAGCTTGCTTGTAGACTAAATTATGTCTTAATTCTTATCACAATAATGACTGTGACACCAGTACAGAGATGGCAAAATCAGCTTTCAGTTAACTGGTAGTATTTTAATCAAATCAGCAAAGCTCATCTGTTTCTTGGCAGAAAACATCTCTCACTTCAAGCTCCTTTCTTATCTGATATCACTACCAGTCTACTCTGGTTTCTAACCAACTAATTTCTAGTCTACTGCCATAAATCAATAGGAACTGTACGATCAAATCAAGATAGTAAAATGCTGCCTTCTGGGATAGAAAGAAGATTTGGTTAAGCAATACATATTTTTCTAAGTGCGTATCTATAGCTTTCCAAGACAAATTCTTGGAAGCATTGCAGTTTCCTAAGATTTCAGTAAAGTATATGTTATCTCTATAAAATATATATATTTGGTAGAAATTCAACAGATACATTCTGATTACAATCAAACAAACAACAAAAAACTCCATGAAGTTTTAAAAAGCCACATAACATTTCACTATGATAACAGGCAAATTGTTCTATTTCTTTGTCTGAATTCAAAATTTTAGACTAAAAACTTGTACAGTGCAACTCTGCAAAGTGCTGAGTGACCTCAAAGCCTATAGGTCTTAGTTGTTTGTGAGGGGTTAGTCAACTTGAGAAATCAAGTCCTTAAAAAAGTAAACGTTAGCATGGGCTTACAGCTAAATTCTGTTCTCTGGTACACGTCACAGCTTTCATTCATACCTGTAAAATCTCTCAGAACATAATTTAGTCTCCATAACTTTTCATGACTGTAAGAGATAAAAACATTAATTTAAAAAGTGACGTGGAAAACGTGTTCCCATTATGCAATGCCATTCATTTTTCTTTAAATGAGGACTGAGCATGAACCAATATAATGTGTTTGGGACTCACTGGAATTTAAATTCATATGCAGAAAGCTTGAATGTCTTTGAGCAAGCCATACTGTAAATAAAATTGCAACCTATATATATATCTCCATATAACCGAGTTGGAAGGAACAGGCTTTTGGGCAGTATACTAGTACTGCTTTTCTATGTATTTTCTTTACATAGTTGATCGTTGGCCTGCTTCATCAAGTTTGAAGTTTCGTTTTCTGGCCGCATCACTGTTGAACCCCGCGTCAGATCTGTCTGCATTACTGCAATCCGTCATGGTAGATTCTGCCTCCACGCCTTCCGGAGCCCCGCCGTTGGGCCGCTGAACTTTAGTGCTTTCTTCTGGTGGGCGCTTCCAGTGAGGCCTGCTTGCCATCCACAAAATAAGCGCACCAAATGTGACAATCAAGAGACCAAGACAGTTGACAAATATTGCCTCTGGTGGGGATTCACTATATGCAGAACTTTTCATTTGCAAAGAGAAAAAAAAAAAAAAAAGTTGTTTTAAAGACAATCCTGGTCTAAACCAGCAGTCCTCTGATAGATAAGAGGTCTTTTTAAAAAACAAAACCAAAGAATGTCCCAATACTAGATCATTACTGTTCTATACAAACAGAATTACAGTATGCAATGAATAAATTTAATAAACAGGTGGGAAAAAAAAAAAATACTTACAGAGAAAATATAAGCTTTTCTGTGATTCCCATGAGAGCTGATGCAATCACTGCTACAAAGATGAGGAGACCCGAATAAACATGGATTGGCATGAGAGCCGCTCGGAGAGGAACTGGAGCAAATGGGAGCAGAAAGACAGCAAAGCCCAAGAAAAGCTAAACACAAAACAGATTCATGGTTAAAGCTTTAGGGAAAACAAGCTGCATGTCTCAGTCACAATCAAAACCATTATAAAAATTGAAATTTGAGATGTTTTCAGGTACGAATTTGACAAGAATTGGCATTTTTATTTTTGAATGGGTTTCCTTGCAAAACCAAGGCAATCATTCCGGATTAGTGCCCGGGAAGCAGACGTTAGATATTTTATAAATAATCCCACCTCATATCAGTGTCCAAACTTACTGGTAATGCTAAAACTGCTACCAATCTGAGTATAGGAAACGCAAGTTTTCACTGTCAATAACTCAATCAGATATTAAAGGAATGACTAGCTACATGTTTACAGTCCCTTCAATTTCAAGTCCTATTCTCCCCTCCTGTTAGGGATTTACACATAAATGAAGATCAGAAGGCAGTTTAACCTTTTGTCTTGAGTGGTCTAAAGAATTTTACCCAGTTAGAGCTTTCTATAAATTAAAGGACACGCCTCTAGAAGGGCAGTTGTCTACTGGCATTACAGAGTGAAGATGTGTGTGGGTAGCGTGAAGCTGTTCAGGGCCACGAGTCCTCCCATTAGTGCTACGTCTGTGACAGAGGAGAGTGCATCATGTCACATGGTGTTTTCAGTCACAGGCTTGCACTGGCACCTTAAGGCTGCATCCTTTCTTTAGTTTGTTCTCCCTTAACTTAACCCTGCTGCTAAATGAGAAGTAGTACGTGAATTTGTATTTCAAATTGTTTTCATTTCCAGCCTTCATTCTTGTTTTGTCTTTCCATGTTGGATTAAAGAGCTGGTTATTTTCTCCCAGGGAAGCTTTTTAATACACCTTAATCAAGTCATGTCTTAATCTCCTTCTATATCTGCTAAACAATTGGAGCTTTTTAAGTCTTTCACTAGAAGACAGTTTTTCTAGCTCTCAAATTACTTTTCCAGATTTTCTTTGCATTTTTTTTTGAAATTAAAAGTTAAAAAATGTATTCCATAGTATTGCGTACTGGTTTCTTCAGGCACTTCTTTCCAGAGTCACTGCTTTCCAAGAAATGGTGTCCATTTGACATTTCTGTCCTATTGGTGTCCTTGTGCTGTACTATATTAATATACATTGGCTTAAATATAATATATGTACACTACTATTCCTGCAGGTCTAGTATTATGTGAGCATCCCCCCTCAATAATTTATTAATTTTGAGAGTTTAATTAAATTAGTTTAATTTAAGTTAAAATTAAATTAATTAAGTTTAATTAATTTCTTTAATTTTGAGGAAATGAAGACATTTCCACTAACGGAAATGCTGTTTTATGACTCTTTCCTAACAATATTTCTCAATCGCTTCAAAAATATCAGTCTGACTAGAGACTTACTTCCCCGTTTGGAAGAAGTCACATCACTATTCTATTGATCAAACAGACAAGGCATTTAGTTAAGTGCCATTGATCATGTTTAGAGTAGCAAAATGAAAAGCAGAATTAAGATGTTATTCACAGTTCTTCATCTTAACCATTAGAAAAAAATACTGATAGTGGCAGCAGAGATTTCCCTGAAATAACTGCTATTAAGATGAGGAAAATCTGAACATTATTCTCTTATTCATTAGCTGTAGTTGTTCAACTATAAAGTATATAGTTAACAATGCGGCAATATGCCTTCTTTTTTTTTCCTGAGTGTTAAAAACACTGTTCCAATACTAGTCCTAGCCTGAGCAGTGAAGGACAAAAGCATTAATGCCCCACACATAAGATTTCTTCTTCCTAGTTAACTGTTTTCTATTTCTACAAAATAGAAGGACTTCAGAATTTTAGGCACAGAAACATTACAGCTGTATGTGTACGCTACATGTCAGGGCACACCTGCTCTTTCTCTAAGCCAAATGCAAAATATATCAAGTTAGTTCCTTTTAAATTATGGTAACTCCAACTCTCTGGCAATAGGAGCAGTTAAAAGCAAGCACATGAACATTTATCAAAGATTTGCTGATTCAGAAAAACTGTTTTCTCTATAGTAACTAATTTAATGTCAGAGCCTTTAGGTCTGCACTGCCCCCTGCTGCGCTCGTTGTGGTGATAGAGAAGTCCTGAGACCAAGAAAAAATTTTAAATTTATAAACTTATGCTAACTGCAAAAGAAACATCAACAACAAAAAAGGGAAAAGCAATTACTTCATTTGAAAATTCCTCAATAAAAGCTCTGTTTAAATATGCTACCAACAAACCAAATCACTTGCTTTAACTTCAACAGTTTATAGAACTTAGAAAAACACTACTGTATAATTGAACAGTAAATAAACCCAGCAAGTAAACAAAACATGCTTTAAAATACTTTTTTCCTTGAGGTCAAGGATCCAGTACTTGCTCATTTACATGCTAATTTGCCAAATCACAGAATTTAAGATGGGTATCCTAATAGTTAAGAGCATATTGTAGAATTGCAGGATATGATATATTATTATTTAGGGCCTATAGTACCTGAATTACTCAACACGTTCTTTAGCTTTACAATCAGTTTAAAGATACAGTTAGATTCTGACCTGGAGAGAATAAAATATAACAGCAGTCAGCCCAATCCAGCTGTGCAGACTGTACATGTTGGGAATATTCCTGGCATTGTGATATTCAAACACGGCTACCATAGAAACAATGGCAAGAATCATAGCTATGGTATTTAATCCAGCATGTATGAACTTCATTAGGAGTTTGCTGCACTTCCAGGTCCAAGGTAACCTGTACACAATAATGGCTAAAGAAAGAAGAGAAACAAGATGTTATGCCTTACAGTATAGCTTCTCTAAGATTTCGATAATCATGCATCATTCACATATTTCTATTGTAAATTAGGGAAAATCTGACCTTTAATCCTTAAAAAAAAAAAAAAAAAAAAATCTATTAAAAAGCTTTTTCTTCTACATAGCCTAACACATAGCATATTCCAAATATACAACTGAGGCGTAAATATAGCTTTTAGGGAAATTTATTCCTAACTTTTTGAAAAATTCAAGTGTGTTTCAAAAAAGTACCAGTAAAAAACTTGTCATCTTTTCCTTGTTACTTAAGTTGATCTAACAGGAAGTCTGCATAGGATTTCGATTTTTTTGCTACTAGCCAGATTGGAGGAATAAGGCCTAATTCTTATATCCAGAAGATCACACACTGAGAAAGGGTGCAAGATTTTTTTTTTTTTAATGTTTATTCTCTTTGCAACTTTTCGTGATGCTATTTACTAATTACATAGATATTTATATAGCTGTATCTATTACCTTGATATTAGTAGGACTGTTTTAGACAGGAAAGGGCTACCCAGCATAAGGGAATCATAATCCTACTTTAAGAAATAATAGGATCTAGCAGCTACAACTCTTGAAACACTTAAATGCAAGTAAGCCTGGAGCACTCCTCTTTCCTCGAGGTCCTCACTGCTCCTTCGCTGCCATGACTGACCCCTGTCTGTTGCACACAGACCAGACCAGATCACTGAAGCCCCAGGTACTTCTGAATAAAAACTTGTAGTATTTCTGGATGTGTGCTATACACACAAGTACATTCAGATAACAGGGGACAAATATTTATGAGCAGACCCATTCCTTTGACCAATACATGCTAATACCTTGCCTGGGCAAAAAGGCTGTGCTCCATTCATCTGATTCATCAAATCTTGATTTAAGGTTTCTGCTTATAAAATGATATTCAAATCCTTATATATAATTAGCTGTATCAAAACCAAAGAATATATCCAGGTTTGAAAAGAAGTTTCCATTCCAAACACTCATGAGAAAATAAACGCACTAGAAAATAAAATATCTATTACCTGATACTACCTCCAAACATTAAGTATTTACTTAAGTAATTCTCACGTGCTTTCCTCATTACTTCTTCATAACCTTATATTTTTATGCAAAAACAAACAAACAAACAAAAAACACTCAATGTCGCAATGAATAAATGGCAAATTAATTTTAAAGTTCTGTTTACACATATGTATATTGACTTGGATACATGCCAGGAAATACAGCACTCCACTACATAATTCACAAAGAAAACACTGTTCACAAGTGGAATTTCCAGTCTACAAGCAGATTTTAAATCAATACATGCTTTTACATACTGTGTAAATATATAATACTGGAATGAAAGTGTCCCTTAAAATATTTAAATATATACAGCATTTAGATAGTTCTCAACTTTCTACTTTTTAAAAGAGGCAAGAGAAAAAAATCAGGAAGATAGAAGCCTTGCTTTAAAGACAGCTTGACAGTACTCAGTCTATATGACATAATTTGATATGTGATTCAGCACAATGAGCTTATGATCACTTACAACAGTTCCCCAAAATTTATACAGTAATCTTATAGCTTGTTAATATTGAAATAATTGCCTGCATTAGGCAGAATTTAGCATCAAGGATTTCTAACGTATTACAGCTGGTAAGCCAAAAGGTCACAACCAAACCTCAGTATCCTATCAAGATATTCCCAGTAAATCTTCCATGCTTTGTCTATTATCAATAGTTTGTTCCAAGTGGAACAGAATACTGGACTCTAAATACCTTGAAGTCAATTTAAGCTGAGTAGATCCTGGTCTCAGATTTCAGCCTTGGTTCTCAAAGGGTCATGTCCAGGCTAAAATTTTTGTCTAACACTTTTCTTTGGTGCATAAGACACTGTCATCTATTTAACTTTCAAAATCACTATCAAGCTCCATATCCACTTAGTCTCAGATCTCTGTATGGGCCATGAAACTTTTTGTCTGTCCACCTTTAGGAAATATTGTAAGAGAAAAGCACATAAATGGCTTGGACACTTACTAGCAATGCCATGCATTAGCATGTTATGTGCTGTAACCCAGAACAAATGTTTTGGTTTAATCCCCTTTCAGTAAGGACTGTGTGAAGTTAAACATTGCAAGTTGAGTAGACCTGCCAGTTTAGCACTGACAAAAGGCACAGTCCCCTTTCCTCATCACCACTTTCACTTCCTTTCTGCTTCCCCCACCCTGCTTTGTCACAACTGGTGCTTCTCCAACCAGCAGGAGGGAACAAGACACTCCAGAGAACAATGCAGAGAGGAGGAAGGACCTTAGGCTTTCAGTGGCGCTCCTAAAAGAGTGACTCAGCTGTAATCTGTAATTTCATCTCAAATTTAAATTAGCCTGTGATCAAAGCACTTACACAGTTATAGCACTTTTAGTAGCGTCGTGTTAAAGCAGTCCTGTAAAGAACTTCCTTTATGTACAACATCTCTCTTAGTAAGAGGATTGACGTTATTCAAGTCTAGGCATCCTTAGACACAGCTGCTTCACTCTGATCTCACTCTTGCTTTGAACTCTGATTTTAAAGCACATCACATAGGGTGGAGTGATCTTGAAATATTTATGTTGCATAGGACACCTTGTTCATCGCCAAATACACAAAGCAAAATTCTAGTGAGCTTTCTAGTACTTCTGACTGGTGCGTGCTGCAGTGCAGTATAATGGATTGCTAATGGGACACCTCCTACCCCAGAGGGCGCGTGGCATGGTTCTGGGGATGCACTGGGCTTGCACTACACAACACCTCCCAGCTGCCAGAAGGGAACAATTCGCTTCACTCCTCTTGTGCTTCTTGGATGATCCTACTGCTAGCCTTTGGCAAGTTCTGCATGGCCACTAGATTCTTTGGGAAACACATTAGCACTAGAATGAATGAAGTAAACCCAATAAATTAAGTCCCTATTTATAATTTCAAAGGACTCTAAAGTCATCAAGAAAACTACCTCTTCAGAGCCTGCCTCTGATGAGACCCTTGCAGCTCAGAAGTCACTTGCCCTTCAAATTCCTCAGAATTCTAAAGCTCAGTGAACGTTAGAAACTCCAGGAATTAACCACCTTTCCTTTTATCAGATGTTTTGTTATATTCAAAGCAGAGGTAATTGCGTTTGTCAGATAATTTGGAGCAAGCATTATCTTTAGATATGATTTAAAGATGAAAGAATATGATTACTTCAAAACAGATTTGCACCTGCTCTTCTGGCTGTTGCACCTTGTCCGCTATCTCCCTTCTCCTGTCTGTGGCACTTCTGAGAACCTTTGTGAAGACAATTCAACTTGCTATTCCAGAAAAAAAAAAATAATGGAGGAGTAGGGTGGCAGGGAAAGGATTGTTTATGGATCTGACAACAGCCAGAGATGGCAGAAATGAGGCAGGAGGAAGATGAAGCCAGAGTCAAGGAGAAAGCTGAAAGGGGAAAGTGGAGCAAAAACGTAGAATATTTCAGCCAGAGCGAGCTGTTAAATTGTCTCACCCATTAACCCAATTTCATCCGTACAGATGAAATTTCACAGAGTTGTAGAATAGCTTGGGTTGGAAGGGTCTTTAAAGGTCATCTAGTACAACCCCCCGTGGCACAGAAAGGGACACCTTTCACTAGATGAGGTTGCTCAAAGCCCCATCCAACCTGACATTAATTGACTCTTGAACGCCACGCAGTAATGTGGTAGACCAGGATTTTTCCTTCTTTTTTTCTCTGCAAGATCTCTTACATAACATTCATGTTATACTCTTTTATCGATGTATTGCTGTCTTTAGGCCATGTCCTCATTTTAAGCCTATTTAAAATACAAGTTACATTATATTTATAAATCATATCTGATGAGGAATATTAGTTGTGCCAGTATCTTCCAAGACATAGCGTCAACCTTGCTAAAAACTTTATTGTGCAGAGGTTAAATGTAACTAATAAATACCATAAAAGACTGACCCAAGGATGAGAGACAGAGTAGAATAGGATGAGAGACTACCCCATCCTCCTTGTTCTGATTGTCTTTATTCAATTTTCCACAACCCCAAAACGCGTTTTGCTGTTCCTCAGTATCCAACATAAACTGTCACACCTCTGTAGATAAAAAAATATCCTTTTATGAGGTAATGAGTTGAGAAACCCTCAAAAATATTTTATTCTGCATTAGATCATAATGGAGATCTCATAATTAGTCCTTTGGAAGGAACCAAGCATTATCATTTACAGACCAAACATGAAACAGCAAGTAAATACTGCTTTGGAGCGTGCCCTGGTGTCTACAGTCATTGTGCAACAATTACGATGTAAAATAATTTTTCCTCATGTGTTTTCCCTATCTTATTCTTTTAAACAAATGTGCTAATATGCACATGAACTTTCATTGCCTGTATTTTTTCTCCACTTTAAAGTCTAGAAACATCATCAGAACAGTTACTGTGCACTGCCAGCGTTTTGTCAGGTATCATTTACGTACAGGTACTGATCCACAAATAGTCAGTATTAATACTACCATGCCTACAGCTTTTTCATTTGTGTGACAAGTTATATACAGCAATGTACTTCCCCACATCCACATTATTATGGTCATCCCTTCTGCCTCCCACAGACCAACAATACAGTTCTATCCTTTGTACAGACTTCAGTGAACTCAAGAAACAGGTGATTTCATTACTATTTCAAATCCTGCACACAAATTTATCCAAGGTTATTTAGCTATTCCTTTCCACGTTTAACAACTTTTTTTTTTTTAACTACTTATTTTTCTTGTATGTACCCAAAGAAATAAGCTATTCCCCAGACTCATCCAAATTACTTTGAAATGTAGTTGACAGAAGTCTGCCATTGAATTCAATCAGATCCAGAGTAGTGTCTGATCTGCTGCTGTTTCACCTAATTTTATATAATACTACATCAGTCTGCAACTTTGCTTCTTTATAATGTAACAGAATTTCCAACTCCAAATAATGCTCTATTATTAATGAATTTCTTGTGTATGTTCTTTTTTTTTTTTCAAGCCACGGTAAACTTCCATTTACTTTACAAATACTCTTACCCTACACAAGGCTTGAGGAAACATCCTTACTCTGAAACAGGGGCAAACCAAGTTTCAGAGGAAATAGAAGCAAGTGAGTAAGTTCTGCAGAAAACCTCCCCCCATTTTCTGCAACAATTCTAGGTCTTTAAAAAGAAAAAGCACAGTAGTTTGATCACAACAAGTACTATTTAATCTTAGTGTAGTCACAGGTGTTCTTCATTACTTATTTGTAGCCTGAAATTACACTTCACATGACCTATTGAGCAACATTATATAAAACAGCTTCAAAGAATTTTTATTGCTCAAAACTTATTTGTAACTTAAAGCAACGAAGCACAGAACACACCCCACTGCCGCTGAGAAAATTGAATTTGCAGCGTCTGTTCAAATCACCAAATTCCCTACATAACCAGAAGTAGGCAGCCACCCATTCCTCCTGCATCTTCCAGCCTCCGACTGGCTGAGCTCCTGCAGCAGAGCGAGCACACATGCGATCCAAACACCACGTTCCACGGGAATGAATGTCCAGATGTGCTGGACATGTTTCCTGGCGGGGTGAGTGCAATCTATCATTCAGCAACGAAGCAAATGTAAATAAGGTTACTAGCAATGAAATTCTAAGTTAATTCCCTCTATTACAAAGAAAAAATACTTCTGTTTACATTTATGCTTTAAGCCTCTAGAGGCTCTTTGTTACTTAAAAACAGTAAAGTCTTCCCCTCACCTCCCCCCTGAGAAGTCAGTGGTAAAACAGGAAGAATTTCCACTGTTGCCTGCAACATTCATTTGCCCTTCTTTGAGAAATTACTGACATTTCTTAGTGTATTCTCTGAACGTTGAAACTAGCAAGAATTTGGTCACTGACTTTATCAGAACATACCGTTGGGAGCTGTTACGTCTGTCAAATTTCTCCTTTTGCTTTAACACCATTAGCATAAACATTAACTCCCAGATTTCAGGATTTTTAAGGTACTGTCCAGTGCCCTTATTTTTAGCATTAAGCTTTAGTTCAAATATATTACCTGGCTAGTTAGCATCTCTGTGGTGCTCTGTCATTATCTGTTTTTTAAGCTTTCCTGAGAGTATTGCATTTATCTCTCCTAAATTCTTACAATTTATCAACTGTATCATCTCTAATTTAGTCATTTTCATGGAATTAGCTCATTACACTAGCAGCAAAACCACATAGTTCAAACTCCACATTCCTGTTGGCATCAAAGAGCAGCGCTCGCCCTCACGGCCTACCACAGGAGCGGTGCATGATAGAAGAAAAGGCACTGCTCACGTTGCGAGTAACGGGACGCCTTTAAGTTAGTCTGAGGCCGAACCCTGTGCGATCAAATGTTCATGCACCATTGAAAAGTGATCCCACCCCGTCATAATAAAATTTTGTATTACTCAGGCAACAGAATTAAAAGTTAATTTAAAAAATGTATTTCTCAAAAGGATTTGCACAACATCTGCACTGACGAACTGCACCGTGGTGATGCCTTCGGTGCTACGACTTCCCTGGCACCAACCCCGCTCCCGGGTCTGGCTTCAGTGGTGCTGAACTTTCCTTTCTGCTCGGGAGACTCAGGAGAGCGAGCCAGCAGGGACGCAGCCAAAAGAGAGAAACTTTCCTTGGGCAGCAGTTCTGGCATTTCGGTTCCCAGCTCCCCCGAAGCGAGGCTGGCTAGGAAAACACACCTCGAGCACTGCGCAAAGCGCTACCAAACCCAGGCCAGGGTAAACAAGTGCTCGAAGGGAAAGAAAGAAAAAAAGAAACGAAGAAAAAGAAAACAAAACACACATCGCAGCTTCGCCTTACTACAAAGGACCATTTGTCCCGTCTCGGTGCGAGCGCTGCCTCGCCTCGCCTTCCTTTCCTTTCCTTTCCCTTGCCTTCCCTCCCCGGGGCCCCACGCACCGATGCCCTGGATGAAGACGAAGCCCGTGACGACGAGCACGGGGTGCCAGTTGAACTCGGCCGCGCCGCCGTCCCAGCCGAGCCCCTCTCGGTACCGGAAGACCCAGACGAGCGAGCAGACCACCGCCACGAAGCCGAGCAGCAGCGCCGACACCAGCAGCGCCAGGAACCGCCGGTAGCCCTCCATCTTCCGCGGCGCAGGGGAGGGACGGGACGGGACGGGACAGAGAGAGGGGAGGGGAAGGGAAGGGGCAGGGGCAGGGCGGGGTTGGGGTCGGCCCGGGGCCGGGGAGCCGCCCCGCTGCCGCTGCCGGGCTGACCCCGCAGGGGCCGGCCCCGCTTGCGCCCTCCTTCGCCGGGGAGCCGAGGGGGCGAGGCAGCGGTTCGCCGGCACCGGGGGGCAAACCGGGACCGACCGGGGCAAATCGAAAGCACGGCGCGGTGCTGAGGCCAGGCATGCACAGGAGATGCGCGCTGAGAGGCTTCGGTGCGGCGTGCTCCGAACACACTTGGAGGCACGACCATCAGCTCTGCTTCCCAGCGGGTTCCCGAGTGTTGAAATGTAAAACAAATACTTGCCATTCTCATACGTGGATGCTGGCCTGCATCCGGAGGAGTGTTTGGGCATTGTGCTGTTGGGACCTGCCAGGATAGGCGGTTTAGTTACATTGAGACATTAGTTTGTTCGTTTTTTTTTTGCTTGTTTTAAGTCCACCATTGGTTACGATACTTGGCTAAGATTTTAGGATTAACGTCTCCTCTGGGTGGCCTGCCAATGTCCTTCCAATGGGCCAAGATACAACCCAGAGGAGTCATTTTATCAGTAGTACTCAAAGTTGCTCCCATTATGGTGTCTTTTCTCAGTCTCTTACACTTTGTCCATCTCTGTCTGTATTCCTCATGGGATAGTGGAACCTCAGACATGTTGTAACATTGAGCTGTGATAACGCAATTGTACGTTAACCACAGCGACAGGACAGCCCTAAAGATAAGGGAGTAAAAGACTGTATGCACAGAGATAATAGAACCAGCAAGAACTGGCTTGGACTGCTGAAGTCTGTCAAAGAAAGGAAGGATCAGAAGTTTAGCAGAGAGGAAGACTTCTGGCCTTCATCAAAAGACCACCAGAGTATGCTGGACGACCACCCAAGGACTCTAGCATGCATGCAAATAGGGGCAGGAACCTATGTTAATGATCCTTTGGAGACCTGATGAATATGCAAGAGACTCACAGGAAATGAAATGAATATGTATATATGCCATTAACATAAGCACACTGCCAGTAACCCTTGGTGTGTGTGTTACAGCGATCTCCCCCACACCTGGTGCCGTAATATGGAATACCTGCTTAATAACTTCGGTTATTGAGTTTTCAATATGTCTACTGCATCAGTGAGACCAGAAGCAGACCAGAAGCTGGAAGATGGCTGCTGGAGTGGAAAAAAAAAGACCGTAGAAAATGCTGTGTACGAAAAAAAAAAAAAAGAGTGCTTAGCAATGGAAACAGTCAAGAAAATGTGTGTAGCTGGTTTTGTTTTGCCTGGGTCCCCTGTAGCAGCAAGACACAAAGATAGACTGTGTTATGGGGAGTTCTGTCACCACCTGAGAGCTTATGTGGCTCATTTCATGTTATATTTCCATCAGTGCCTAGCTGTCCTTGGACTTAAATCTGCATGATGCCAGCTCCAAAATTAATAGATAAGTAATTGTCAGCACCACCTTTTGCAGTGTAGTACAGACAGCCCAGTTTAGGATGTGCCAGGTATAGGTGTCCCACTTTGCTTCCATTTCTGCTTCTCATCTGTTTCTGCTCCCTTCCAGCCTGAGACTGCTGGCACCACTTCTGCTCTGCCAGCAGGAAAACAAAGTGACAGGACACAGAAGAGCATCAATACTTTCCCCAGCAGCCTAGTGAAGCTGCCATGTTGCAAGGTCACGGTGTGCAGAAGGATGAGTGAAGAAAGCGTTGTTCTGGGCTGGATGTTTTGCACCATTACCATTAGTGGAAAGGAGAGGTGCCAGCACTCCTGATGCTGCTTTGCACTGAAGTCTCTATCATGGGGTGTTTCTCCCCAAACATTTCTCCACAAACATACCTCTCTGTCCAGCCTGAGGGGCAGAGCAGGCAGTGGTGAGAGAAACACTCATTCCTGGCTGAGGTATTTTGTACACACTGATAAGATCCCCCTGAGATATCTCTTCTCCAGGGTGAAGAGTCCCAGCTCTCTCAGTGTCTCCTCATCTGATGGGTGCTCCAGTCCTTTAATCATCTACATGGCCCTATTTCAGAAATTCCGTGGTCCATTAACAGTTTAAGGGCATTGACAGACTGACAAATTTTGTGAATCCAAGGTCTTAATTCAAGCTCACTGTCTCTGCTTATTGTTGGTAAGATACTGACTTTCGCATTGGAGTAATTTGGTCCTGGCCCTTGTTTCCTCCTGCCAATTTTGCAGTAGGAGTATAACTTCTGTTAAAGCACTGGGACATTAATTTAACAACTGCTGCAAAAGCCATGAGAATTTGCCAAAGCTGTAAGCACCCGCATTATTTTCCTTAAAGCAGCTGAAGCACAAGCACATTTCCATTCAGCTGCCTGTCATAGGGAGATGCTAGCCTGTGACAGGGTCTGGGTGAATAATGACAACTGAAGCCACCTTAAAAAGTTACAGCATGATATACTGGGGCTCATCTGCTGATATCCCCAGTTTAAGACATTTTGAAGTCAGCTTTAACTGTAATGATAAAATCAAGGTTGCAAACAACTAAACTGGTATATCTTTCTGGTACATCAGGCTCCAGTATTTGCTTACAACATTTTGTCAGAGTTGCAAAAAATTCTTTAAAATAAATATGAACTGGTATATCATACTATTGAGTCTATAGAAAATCTGCAATAATAGTTTCAAAAAGTGTGAAGTGCTTTGATTACATCCAGTCACCCTGACAGTCCCATTTAGGAACCTTCTACCCAAGTGGATTTTACTTAAGCGTAAGTCCATATATCCCATACACCTTTAATGACTTCGTATAGCTCTAACAGGCAAACCCTGTTAAAGCAGCCAGTAACAAGAGCAGACACAGAATTTTATTGAACTGAAATCTGAGGCCCAGTTTTGCCCGCTAAATATGAATGAATTGTTTTTAAAATAGAAACTTGAAAGCTCAGACAGTGTCGAATACACCAAACCAGAATCAAGAGCAAAATAATTGTTGGGTCAATTAAAGTGGGCTTTATGGAAAGACTAATGCAGAAGATGTTTCATGCAACACAGTTAGGAACTCCTGCCAGTATTTCTCTTTGTTTCCCGTTCTTCCAACTCTTTTTGCCCACTTGATCCCTGTGTTGGATTGGTACGGGATCTGAAGCAATCTTTAGCACTGCTGCAACATCAGAGGGGATTGCACAGTTACATGAGGGAGGGAACTGTATCGTACAGTTGGCTGCTGAGGGCTCAGCTGCACACAGGATTCGAACATGAGTTCAGGACATAAACCCCTACTGGCATAGCCTGAATGGGGCTGTCAGGTCTTATGGATCAGTGAACACCTGCTTTTGTTTACCATTGCTGTGGATACGTGCCACAGTAGTTCAAGATCTCTGTTCTTTCCAAAGGCCTCTCTCTCCTCGAGCGTGTTGATGTTTTTTCAGAACAGTGCCTGTTCTCTGTTTGCTGCTTCTCTTAGCAGTTGTCAGGACATCAGCTAACACGAACTTTCTTTGTGCTGCTGCATTGCCAGGTGTAGAAGCAGGATGACTGTGACTTCAGGTTTGTAAGAACCTACAAAGTAGAAAACTGGACTACTTGCATGTTACTTTGGAGAAGCAGAAATGGCCTCCTGCCTGTATGATACCTGTGGTGCGTGGCTACTCAGCAACCTCTGCCATAGCTGCTGTATCATTCATACACTTTGAGAGCAGCACTCTAGATGTAAACCTACGTAGATGTTTACCTAAGCAGCACACCATATCATCACAGATCATTACCTTGTGCTTTATTTATTTATTTATTTATTTTTTTGATGTAACTGTTTAAATACAAGGAGTGAAATTAGAATTCCCAGTGACCAGTAACTGAGTTGTGAGAGCTATAGTTAGGAAGAGGTTGGATTGTCTTTCACCAGCAACAACTTTATCTGTTTTTCCAGGCTGGACAAATCACTGAAGATCCAGCCCTTAGAACAGGACATTCCAAAGTGGTTACAGTGTCCCTCAAAGCATTTGGATGAGCTTTTCAGAAGGCTGGTGGCTGTTCATCTTATAAACAAACAAAACTGCTGAGATAGTGCTAACTGAGCTGGCTGTTACGAAAGCTTTAGAAGTATTCCCTCAGGAGTTACCTTACCAGGAGTAATACTGACAAGTGAGTTTAAGTAATTAGTGCTTGAGTGGTGCTGACAGCTCAGAATGATCCTTCTGCTCTTTTTGGCAGCCAGATCCATGTCTATGAAGCAGAGCCATTTGACCTTTGCTGTTGAAGACATTACCAATTTTTGCAAAAATTGGGAATATTGAACGGGACCTTTCCTTGAAGTAATTTTTACTTACTCTCCACCCTTTAGAGAGCTTTCACTGAGATAAAGTAGATGATAGTGCAGCTTTTGACCAAATTTCTATATCAGTTATTACCTATGCAGTGAAACTCTTTATTATTTTAATCCATAAACATTTTGGTTCTGTGAGTTGTAAAATATTTTTCTAATAATTTAAAGCCTTCTGTAACAATTTTTGAAAATCGTGAGACTGCGGAGCAGGAGCTGGAACTCCCAAAGCAAGATTGTAAAATGTTACTGCTTATGCTTCTTGTTTAGCTTGTGCTATTTCATTTTCTTCACCACTGCTCAGCAGCCTTGTCAGTGAATACTTAGCAGAAAAACAGGGTGTGCTCTCTTGAAATGCTTCTTACTCTAAATTGCAGCAAATCTTATCAAGCCACTCCCCTATCTTTTCAGTCCCTAGGCACTCACTGGGAAGTTCTTCGTACATGATTAAAAATACAAACAAAAATGGGAGTAGCACTTCTGGGATGCTGTTTTTGCTTCTCTGTCCAGATATCAGATCATTGAGAAGCCAGAGTGAAGTGGATAAGTGGGAATAAAAAACAATTTTGTTGAAGTAGAAATGCTGGAAATACGCTGCTTTGATCCACAATCCAAATATTTATGTGTTATACAATCAAGCCAGCTTTCAAGCAGTAGAAATAAGGGGCACTGGCATTATAAAGGACCATAATTGAAATGTGGTGTCAACAGTTGGGAGTTGGCAGTCTGTGCAAAGTAATTCTAGTGAATCTCAGCTTCTCCTTCCGTGCTTTCTTTATCTGTTCTTAAGAATCTGCACTTACATTTCCCTTAAAATATAATATTCCTAGAAGTATATTCCTTCCACACCCATGCAAGAATAAGGAATTGTACTCCCATTTTATGAAATGAGCTGTTAAGCTATACCAACCAAAGCAGTTCTTATAATTTTATCATTTTAACTATTCACTCTGCAAGAAGGGGACCTAGTTGCTTTCATTGTTAGAAAAAAAAATGCAGCTCATTTGTAATCACTTATCCAAAGCGAGCAGTATGACTCCTTTGAATTTATTTAATCTAAAAACATGAGAATGAGTTGGCAGAAAAAAGTCTTTTGGTGCTTCTGGAGGTTATTTAGGTCATCATTTTGTAACTTCAGTAAAGTAAAAATAAATGCTGAAGTTATGGTTGCGCAAATGCCAAGTCTAGCAACCAGAGAGCTTCAAGTGGTCTTCACTGAAAATCTAAGATTGTGAAATAGCTGGAAAAAAAAAAAGAAAAGAAAAAAAAAAAAAAAAGAAAAAAAGATGCTCCCTTAAAAATCTCTAAAATTGATTTTAAATGCTGGAATATGTGTTTAATTGCTTTAGTACTCATGGCCTGTTCAGTCTTTGTATCAAGAGAGGCATGTGGAATTTATGTTGATACACGGAAACTTTCTTGTGAATAGGACTAGTTGGCAGTTACTATATTATTAATTTATCCTTCAAATGCACCTCTTCTCACCCCCCTCTTCCCCCCAGAAATATCTGAATTTTTGATTTAGGAGGGACTAACTAAATTTCTCCAGTTGTTCATGGAGATAAAGAAAAGATTCGGAATGTACAGATATGCCATGTGTTTTTTATTAGTGAGACATATATACATATATTACACATAATACACATATATTAGATCAGTTCACACACCTTATCCAAAAAAAAAAAAAAAAAGTCCTTTAAAGATACTGTACTTCTGACAGTGGCAATACTTGACAGTTGTAAAGAAAAGAACTCAGTCACTGCCCTATATATATGTTTTTGTTTTTTTTTGTATGGCTCAGCCTTAGGAAGTCACATTTTGACTATTTCCCCTTTTTGCTCATATCATTTAGGTTTTATACATACTGGCTGCAGCAGAAAGTAGGAATAAAGCAACCTTAAGGGAAACCCCAAATGAATTCATGAGTCCCTAACCTGTTTAGTTACAGAATGCCCAGAGAACTTTGCTTTAATTGGGTAACATCAGTCCCTCACAACTGGTATTTAAGAAAACACCCAGTCCCTCTACATACCACTCTATGCAGGTGGTATATCTTTCTACCAGATATTCCTAATAGCAACCTCTATCATAACTGGGAAGCAAATTAATTTGTTCATAAGCTTTTCCATCATGTGCGATAGCTCTCACAGTTCCAGAAGGAAAACAAAAAAGTTTTTTGTTGGTGAGTTTTCAGTGATCTTCAGTTACTGTTAAGTAATAAGAAGGTATTTTTTCTCAATGACAAGAGCAAAATAAAGGCAAAATGAGAATAAGATGAACAAGAAACTCTGCTGTTGAAGTAACAGGACATATCCAGAAGAGAAGAAAAAGAAACCTAGAAAATGCAGAACGCGTCTGCGATTCCCTGATTGGGAACATTGGCAAGAATGGCTTAAGGTCCTGTCAATTTTATGTTTGAAATATACATTTGAGAATCTCTACTTGGGTTAACAGTTCATATGTATATGTTTACCTTTTTTGTATACATACATATATATATTTTTTTTCTTGTGCATCTACTGCTAGTGAAAATAATGGAAGTGTGAGCTTTTCAGCTTCAATCTTTTAAAGTATGTACTCGGTCCAGTTTCTTTTGATTGTATTTGATCTAATTACTGGAGGCCTTTTCTACAGACTCTGGAAGCCACTGCATGAGTCATAAGCACTCACTGAAAAACAAAGTAAGGGAACTCAGAATTTCACATGAATAGTTCCTTAGTCCAATTTTTTTTGTAAATCAAAAAACTAACTGTAAATGGGTTTCCTGATAATAAAGCAGTCAGCTACTGCCTGTGAAGGATATATATATATATATATCTAATTTATTTTTATATATATTTTATTTATTTTAATTTCTGAATCTATAGATTGGAAACAAAATATATTGAAGAATTTATTCCTTTTTTTTTTTTTTAGAGCAATTTTGTTTCTTATTTCTTTTTTTTTTTTGGTACTAATGTCACGTTTTGGTGCTTGCAGAGATAATTATGATGGGCAAGAATATTTTTTTTATCTCTGTAATTGAAACCACAATAGCATTCTCAGAATTTCTCAACTTTACAAATACTGACACTCTTAAATATACTGAATTATTCAGATTGTGTAACAGACTTTTAAGTAACCTAGTTTACATTAGAAAAAAGAGAAAAGTTCTCTACATTCCTCTTATATGGACATGAAAGCATAGTTCTACAGGTCAGATCTAATGCCTTTATTCAGATTTTGTATCAATTTGACACAACGTAGTAGCACAGCTCTGCCAGCAGCCATGACTAAAAATGCTTAGGTGTCTTACATATAAAATCTCCTGGCAAAGAAAGGTACTACCTTTTTCTGCTGGATTGATTTTGTTTCAGGCTTTAATTTGAAATAAAAAGTTGATTCGGGTGGACTGCCAACAAGCATGCAGATACTTGTGTTTGGTTCAGATATAGGGTTATTTTTTGCAATGTAAAAATCTATAGGTTTGTGGTCAGGATTTTCATCCCTTTTAAATAAAAGTTTAGTTTTAGAATGTTCTGGGGCTTCGCATAGGTACAGAAGTCAACACTACTGTTCACAACTTGAAAAGCATAATGCATAAGTATTCACTGATTCAGATTCTCTGGTGTGTCCCAGCCCATTTCTAAGTAGGGCTGTGAGTATATGCATGAAAGTATTCAGGGCTAGGTGTTCCGGATTCTCAATTCTTAAATAACTTAGGTGTTTTAAATTGAACGGAAACATCTCTCCTGTTTCTGAATGAAAACATCTAGGTGTGACCTTCCATGATGGAACATCTGCCATTATGTGTAGTTTAGCAACATACTGTGTATAGAGAGTGATTGTTTCTTACACAAAGCCCATAATCTTCTTCATCAAAGTCTAGGCTGACTTTTGTTCACTATAAATTGCTGCATTTTTCAATAGATGGACACCTACGTACAACTGTTGATTTAACATGCAATTACAAGTCCACAGTAGCTTCAAAATAAGTCACTAGAAAGCACAGCAGAATCTTGAAAGCTTAAGCTGATCTTCATGAACAGAACATGCACCACTTAATAAACAATCCTCTAATGAAGTGTAAATGTCTTGCTCTGGGAATAACTGTTTTAACAATTCAAACAAAAATGATCATGAAATACCAATACGGAAAACTACATGTACGTCATGAAAATGTCAAAAACATCACATGTTGGTAGTGGGTTTGGTATAGTCATTAACTGCAAAAATCTCCCATAAAATTCTCTGCATTCTCCCATGCGTGGTTCTCTGTGTGGTTCTTGTGAAGGCTAGCAAAATGATTACGACGCCTTTCTTGAAATAAATCAGCTGTTAAATAGCTTCAGTGTTTCTGCTTCACTCCATCTACTCTGGCCCCAAACAGATGATTCACAACCATCTGGCAACTGTACTTTTCCTTACTAAGTATCTTTTAAGTCTTATCAGCTTGTTTTCATGTAGTAGTTCTTTATTAATAAAGATACCCAACTTGTCAACAGTACAGTAAAATTTCATCAGTTGTGTTACTAGCTATATAAAACAATTTGCATACATCAAAAATAGCGATGAGAAAAGAGATGAGGAGTATCATGAAAAACAGCTCTGTAGCATTCTTCTCCAACTGGTCAACTTCTGGTCATTAGTTGTTGGTAAGATTGCAGAGTAAGGACAGAGGACAACAGGGAGTACAAAGGCAGAGTGTTATGCTTCGCCAAGAACACAGATTGAAAACAACAGAAGAGGAAAATATTTTTTCTTGTTTATATACTAATGCACCTCTGTTTTCCTTTACTGTTGTTGTGACTTTTGAGTATCTGAAAAAAGAAAGCAGTTGTTTCCTTTGTATTGCTTCTATAATTAAGGAATTGTATTTATAGCCTTACTTTTCAGTTAGGCTATTTTTTTTCTTGTCCATGGTAAAGTAGTTTAGATTTGTTATCATTGACTGATGTGACAGATTCCTAGTGAAAGGAATTTAGTTACAAATAAATAATCCATACACACTCAGAACAGAAAATTCTGCTTAAGTACTGGATCCTACAGATTCATGTTAATTTCTGCCCTCTTGTCTCCCTGATACTTACATAGTAGTGTAATAGACAAGTGCCTTTTCCTGGCTATTAAGTGAATACTTTCTTAAGTTAGTGTGCAAGTAGAGTGTTGCTGCTGCTGCTCTGTATTTCCACTGTTGTTTATTACCATCTTAGGTCTCCCAGAGGACATCTTTGACTTGCATCTGGTCAGTTCGCCTGGTCATTTGCATGGTCATACTTTGTGACCACAAAATCTACAGCTTGGGGGTTGCTTGTTTTTTGTTTGTTCATTTGTATTTTTAATGAGCATACGACATGGAACTTTCATGTATCAGACATGCTGCACTCATGGTAGCTTTGGCTCAGACTGAACCTTCATGAACCTAAATATGGGGAAATACAGAAAAATGTCTTTTTTTAAAAAAAAAGAAAATATATCCATATAAAATAATAAAAATATATATATACAAAAGGCAATAAACATGCCTTATTTATTCATACTTATTTAAACCAAAACAAAGGCAACCAGCAAACTCAAGTGGTTTTATGTGAAACAAAATCAACAGAAGGATTTTGTTTAAGTGTTTTAATAGTAACTGCCATTTTTTTTACTACATATAAACTTTATCCTATCCAGTTTTACATACTTTGTTTAATTTACAGTCTATATTAAAGTTGCATAGGTAAAACTATGGAAGACAGAACACAGCAGATGGTAGACGACCAGTGAGTCTACATCTTTCTCCTTGACGTCCAATATTTCAACGCAGTTGCTCAAGAGAACCAAGAAATGCCGTAGCCAGCATTAATGATGACCTGGTAAACACATTAAAAGCCACTAGGGACTACAAACAAGTGGGCAATATCAGAGAGAAAAAAGGAAGTAAAAAACCTCTCATAAAAAGTACGAAATGTTAAAATTAAACACTGAAGGAAAAACAGTAGCTGACTAATTCATATGTATGAAGTCCTTAAATAACATCAAAAATGAAGTTGCTGTAGTTATGTCTTAAATATATTCAAAAATTCTCCCTCCTTTTTTACAAAACACTCTTTCTGTTTTTTCACGGCGTGAGCATTCATCTTCTTTTGCAGTATCACAGACCATTTGGTAAACGTAACAGCTGAACCTCCTGTTAGGCTTCTGTTCTATGTGTAACACAGTGTCTCTATCAAAGTAAACTTCATGACTGTAAGTCTGAAATGAGAAAAATAATTCTGATTTCAGCTTCCATTTCCACAGCTTACTAAGAATACTGTGCCTGTGTCATTTTCCATGTGTGCGTTATCTCCCTGATCAGACAGGAAATTTGTGTTGGGGCACAGTCTGCCCTTCCAGAAAAGGGACAGAATTTTTAAACTTCCAGAGGTTTTCTACACACCTGTTTTAGGAATCTAAGCACAAGTTAAAGCATTGGAGTTAAGTTAGGATCCTTAGTTGCCTATACACGATGATAAAAGAGGCATCAAAGGTGCTGAATAATTCAGACCATCTACGTTAGTACCTAAATTTGGACTATATGAACCATTGCATCTCTCCAAATATACACAGTGGGGTCCACTCTTAATTCTATGTATGAGTAGTTCTAGTTAAGTTAATGAGACTATTTATGAGCTATAAAGTTAAGCTGATGTAACTAGCCAGAGAGTGAGTATTCAAGTTGATAAATACTTCAGAAAGACTTAGAGGAAAACAGAACAAACAAAACCAAAGCACAACCAACCAACAAACACTGATTTCAAATCATGAAGATTTTCAGATAAATGAACTACTTTCTGATGTAATACTTATGTTTCTAGAGTCGTGACTATTATTTTGTGCAAATCTCATCCATAACATTTGGCAACACAATTGATATATCTACTTCAAATCTGAACAAAAAATTAATGCAGAACAGTATATAAGCAGGTATGGGAAATGTTAGTATAAACAAAAAGAAAACACAAACAAGCAAAAAAGGAATTCTCACCACATCCCAGGATTCCAGTAATGGAATACTCTTAAGTAGAATCCCCTGCTCGTTACAGTGTAAGTCGAGGTGAGCTCTTCCATCAGCTCCTATTTGAGTAACTGCCACAGTAGATAATAAATCCAATTCATCTTCATAGTCTACAATTTTGAATGTCTTAGGAAAAAAAGAAAACCAAGTTCATGTATGAAACATATTTCACATTCCCTTCTTCCTAAATTGTACAGCTATTTCTTTCAGGTAAAAGAAGAACTGGAAACATTCTAATTCTTAAGTCTTACGGCATAAAGGAAAACTTTGTCAGCCTGATACACAACAGGCATCTTTCCCAGGACAAAGTGTCTAATGTATTTTAGCAAAACTCCTTAAGAATGGAAGAGAAGAAAATTGATGTTCTGAACAGTCTTAATGTGCAAATTGATGCATTTTATATGTAACATACAGGAAACAAAAATACAGTGTGCAGACTGTAATTTTTATTATGTTGAAAGAGGTGAATAGAAATAAACTACAGACCTGGAGGACTGTCCTGTACTTAACAACAGTAAAATCTTTTTCGTCAGAAATAAAGAACAGAAATAACTGCCAGAAACTGATGAATTTTAACCATTGTGCTTTTTCTAGCTCTAGATAGAAAGCTACAAAATATTCTTCACAGCTTCTTGAAGAGGCCGTGTGTGTGAAGACTCAACACACAGCATGTGGTGTTTTCACTCTCAAGAAGCAGTTACTTAAAGTAAGTGTTGAATACTTTCTCCTGCAATCAAATCAAAGTAGCTGGTAGAGAAAATATAGTTTAGGTATTTAGATTATATTGACTTGGTTCCTCTAGTCTTTTATTTAAAGCAGGGAAAAATATGCTTCTTCCAGTTCATAAAATACTTTGGAAGAAATGCTTAAAGGAAGCGTTTGAATGGAAGGAAGAGTAATGGTTCATCACATTAACATTTAATTTCTGTGCTACTGTAGTCACATGGAGTTATGACCGTGTCATGGGGCATTAGCTCAGTTCTTAAAAGAAACTGACTATCCACAGAACAAACACCAACAGTGGAGAAAACAAGTGGGAGGCAGATGGGGGAGTGAGATACTTTGAAGTTAAGTCAAAGAGACAAAGACAGCCACAGAACATGGATGAAGAACTCAAAGATTAATACAGCTAATGGTTACAGGCACTGCACCTGTAACAGGAATGACTTCTGTCTAGCTAAACTTCTTAAATAGTCCATGACTTGTTTTTGTTCGGAACATCAGTTACCTCTTGTTCTGGGTCATCATCCAGCAAGTTATAACGCTTTTTCACCACTCGACCAGAAGCTGTTACAGTAACAGAGCTGTTCACCTTTGGAGAAAAAAAAAAAAAAAAAAAAAGGCTCAGGACTTCAGAACATTATAGTTTCTTTATACCTATTTGACAACGCATCTATTTCACATCTTTTGCTTTCTGACTTTGCTTTAAACTCTGGGATCTTGTTTTATGCATTAGCAACACATGGCCCTATTGCCACCATCTTTTTTTTGTGAGATGCACAAAATTATCCATCGTAACACGTTCATTTGAAGGAAATCTGTCACCATTTTGTATGTTTTACATCAGTGATATAGTTATACTATACATCTTAAAGAATGCTGAGAACTTGTGAAAAGACTTGAGGATTCAAAAAACTATCCAGAAAATGTAATTTGTTTTCAAAATTTCTTTCCTTCAGCTTAATAGAAGTCCAATGAAGATGAGTAAGATCCTTCAAAAAGCTTTGAGTTATGCCCATAAAATACAGCAATTACTAATATACATAAAAACCCCATGTATTGCTCAAAATCATGCACAATGATTTCAGACATCAGAAATTCCTGTTAAACTCACACAGCTTTCTTCTCTGTTGGCCACTATTATAAAGTCTTCTGAAATTTCTGTTTGGTCTGTATTACTTTCAACCTCCTTAAGCTTCAAGACTCTAAAAGAAACAGAAATCACAAAATGAGTCACGCATCCAAATCCACCTGCAACAAATGTTCTATATTTATAGTTAAAAAACAAAACAAAACAAAAACCACAGGTATATTTAAAGCCAACAAATAACTGAAATTGAAATAAGCTATTTTTGTAATTTACATGTATCAGTGAAATTTTTAACACTGGTCCTAGATTTTTTTTTCATATCATAATCTAGTGTTGACTGCCAAAGCCCACACTCCTCATGTAGAAATCTGCAGGTGTTTCTACCAGGACTCCTGATTCTGACAAATTCATCATTTTTCCACTTTCTAGGAGCTGATGACAGTGCTTTGGCCCACAAATAATCAAACTACCGAATTTATGCAGTTCTGCAACTTTTCACCTAATGAAAGTAAAATTTGAGGAAGAAAAGTGGTCATACTTAATCAAATTTGGTCCCACATGGATTATTCTGCCCGACATATCTGGATGGAAATATATCCAATCAGGTTCCAGTGAACAGCATTTCATATCCTGTATGCCATTTTTTGCCTGAAGAAGGAAGGGAAAGCTTAGAATATTATTATACTTAAAGTCTCACAGATCTAATTTAGAAAGGAAATACTCAGCTCCTCTCCATGCTCCTCTGAAGATTTATAAATATTGTTGACAAACAAGATCAGAAAGGATGGCAGCGGACATCAATAATAACAACTCAGACAGTTCTAATTCTCATGGATATTCCATGGAACAGTTTCAACACTTTTTAAATATGCAATGAGCAATGGCCTTGTACCATGATTATACGTGGCCCAACCTCTCGTAAAACTATTAAGATTAAAATATCTTAATATTAAATATCTTAATATTAAAACTAGTATTAAGATGTACCCAACATTCTGCAAACACTCAAATAATTCTAGCAATTTGAGTTGTGTCAAGACATGAGAAAAGCATTAGTACAAACTTTGACTTGTGCATCACAACTCAGACTCAGCCTCTCTTGTGCAAGTATTTGTGGAATGTATAAGCCTGGTATAGCTTGTGATTTCAGCAGCAAAATGGTCAAAATTGTGGGATTTTGGCAGTTACTTTCTGTTAAATTCAGCTAACCTAATCATTCAAAATTTCAAATCATGAACCCATATAGGAAAAAAAAAAAACACAACAGGTGAGAAAGGATTGTTCAAGTCCTTTTGAATCAAAATTAATCTTCAGCTATAGTTGTGAAAGATGTTTTGAAGATAAAAAGAGACAGAAGAGGGATCACTGATTCAATCAGGCTAGTAAAAGAAATGAGGACGTTCACAGATGAGAAGTTTTTTGTGAAGAATTGTGAATTAAGAGGCCAGAAGCTGCTGATACTACAGAAGTATCTTCAGGTCAAAAGCAGATCCAAAATAAAGCCTGAGATGGTGAGCTCACGCAAAAGAATATATGACGAACAGCACATTAAATAAATAAATAGGGATGCTGTATTAAGCTGATTAATAAAGTCTTTCCAAAGAGAGAGAGAGAAGGTACAAATCAAGAATAAACTATAAACATTATGGAAACTTATTCTGCAGTGTCTTGAAACTTAAAATATTTCTTTCATCAAGCCACTTGGTAGGCTGAACAGTCAAAAATGAATTAAGATGTTACCATGCAAGGAATCAGGTATGAGATTATGCTAGAGTCTATAAAGATGGGAATACAGCGCTACGTAGCACTGGCAGTGCTATGATTGTATTGGAATTAAGGAAATCACAGAAGCAACACTAATTCAGGAGAAAACATGACTTCACTGGATAGCAGATACAACAATGTGGGGTGATCCCTATGCGAGTGCCATGTTGGAAAAAAGGACTTTGTTACTTCAAGCACTACTCAGAAGGAGAGGTCAGGACAAACGTGACAACACATTCATTCCAGAGAAGCTGCTACCTGAATATATTACCAAAGCATTGTCTTTCAGAGAACAAATATAGAAGACTCCTTTGTGTTTCTTCTTGTTAGGTGTGATGATATAATGCCATGGGTAACCTCCGATTTGAAATGCATTCTCCAGAGAAGATGCTTCAAATAGCAAAGGTGGGGTATCTGCAAATATTGGGTAACGTTAAGACCATTAGTAGCAGAACAATCATCATTCTATTGATGCTTACAATTCTAAATTATAACAAAGTTATTAATCTTCAGCACTTTTGAAGACTGATGGAAATACATTGGCTGTTACAATTTTTCTAGCACTAGCTATACTTCCTCACCTAGCCTCCAGGCATACATTTGGAATTCCCTGTGGAAAGTTACTGAGTTCTCAGATCTTCATGCTGAGCTGCTCTTCTGATATCTTTGACTTACTTCACTCTAAATGAGCTGCATAAGCAAAGACTGAGCAAACAGTTAAAATTAATTCATCTTATCTGAATGAGCATGGACTTAAGAACAGATCAAATTACACATCGAAAGGGTCACTATTCTCTTGAGAAAAATAGTGCTTAACAGCTGGAAACAGGCTAACAGCAGCAATCCTAAATAACAGAAATAAACACAGAAAGATACCTGAATCCAAATATTCCTTATCCTCTGATATAATCCAACAAAATAGTGTGGACCACAATTTATTCAATCTGTAGCCAAGTTCATAAACAAAATTAAAGAATTCTTGTAATTGATGGCAAAAGGAACGTAGTTCTCCCTTCAGTTCAGCTGGGATAAATTACAGAGATACAATATGCCATTCCTACAGGTCTTCTGTGTACTAAGTTAGAGAAGCATCTTGAAAAGAAATGTACTCTGTACAGAGTTTTATAACTTTCATCAAATAGCTAAATAAAAGCAATTTCTACAGCTGCTATGACTGCATCAATTTTAAACTGAAAAACAAAACAAAACAAAACACATCTCTCTTTAACAGAACAAGAAGTGCTGAAAAAAAAGGGGGCGTCGGGGGGACAAAGTGTAGAGAAAATCTGTAATTAGCATGGATGTTTAAACAGGCAGAACATAAGCACCCAAGCTGAATTACTATGAGAACAAAGTTCTTATCTAGACTTGTTTTTGTCCCAAAGGTCTCACCCATATTTTGACTTGTTCTTGCCCTGCTTAGTCCAGCTAATTAACCAGACCCTGACAGTGCCAAGATTTTACATGACATCAGAAATTATGTTTATATAGTGCTTCTTTCCTTTTCTTTCATCCATATTTCAAAGCACTTTAGCTCTTTAGATTGAAAGGAATCACTTTCCATGGAAAAGAAAGTCTTTCCTGAGCTGGAGAGTGACTGTCTTCTAGTTGTCTTTTGGACTATAGGAAATGGAAAACTTCATGTGAGATATAACAAAATATATAGTTTATGAAAACTGAGGCAGCTGCAGAAAATGTGGAGAATGTTGAGGATGAAGGCATATGCAAAGGACCTGCATTTATTAAAATATGCCAGAAAATGAAAAACAGGCCAAGAACACTTGTTAATATTTCCCCCCATAGACTTACTATATATATTCTTTAAAATAAAAAGGTCCCTCAAAAATTCTGGTGGATGGACTAAATGATAGGTTTAAATGGTTTTCAGTAATACAGCAATCCTAAGCAGTATAGGCTGCTCATAAGATACATCTTTCTTTTTATGCTCATTTGGCAAAACACTGCAAGGTCATAATCACCTAAACCATGGTGATAGTGTGACTCTGCTGCTTCAACTCCCTCTTTCCTGTTATGTGTCACTTGCTTTTGTTGCTCAACATTTCCTATTATCATTGTTCCTGAGTCCTTTCCCTAGAATTGCAAGTTTTCAGTCTCCACTTGAGCCTCTTCATTCGTTTCCTTTGTTCGTTTCCAGTCTCATCTAAGCATAAGCCACAACGTTGTTCCTGGCAGCACTAACCTGTATTTGTTCTAATATGTTGTGGAAAAAAAAAAAGAGAGCAGAATATCTTATGTTTTTTGTTTAAATTACTGAATCATAAAATAATAAATCAAGCTATAATTTTAAGTTCTAGACATTCAGAAACTGATACGATGAAGATTTATAGCTACATTTTCCATTCTTTCCACTGTGACCAAAATCAATTTTCTTACCAGTCAATAGCTGTAAAGGTTGTGGTAGGTACATAGTAACCTATGTGTTTTGATCTCTCTGTACTTCCTCTTGGGTACCTAATGCACCATAAAAATAGCACCATATTAATTGCCATCCCTTCTGGCAATTTCTGTGGGGAAGCTAGGACTAAATAAGCAGGGAAATTATGAACAGTTAAATTACAGTAAATACAAGTTTAAACTCTGAAACTGTTAAAATCTCACTCACTGGAGCATTACATTACGCTGAAGAGTCAGTCAGCCATCTCATTCTCAAAAAAAAAGCTCAAAAACCACAGGAATGCAACTATCTGCAACCAGCAGCCATGGTAAATGTTTGTCCTAAGTTCAAAACTTCCTAACCACAAATTCTTGAATGTGATTCAAGATCAAAAATATTTTCCCCAATACATTGGTTTTAAATATCAAAACTAAAAACTATAATGATCTGTAAGACATGAGAACATATCTAGTACAGGCTTCTTTTTAAAGCTCCCACAGCGTGTTTTCCATAGGGCCATTAAACTGTGGTTTAGCAGAGAGGAAAATAAGGAGAAATTTCTTTTTGCAGAACCTGAGACATCAACTATAGCAACCTATCACTCTGTTTTGATACAACATTGCATCATAACTGAAAGCTTTAACTAAGTCTGCATTTTATCTTTGTCTGTATTTCATCAAGTTTATATAAATCTGTTTTGTATCCTATTATATGACACTGTGAACATAAAGATCAAAAGCACTTTATGGGGACAGTCACCTGTGAAAGCCATTTAATAGAGAAATATTCAAAAATTTAAGGAAAGAAAGCATGCATTATTTGATTTTGGTGAAACCTGCTTTTTCTTCCCTCTCTCAAGTGCCTCATTTGAGCTTTTGAAAGCGTATTTTCAAAGGGAAAAACGTTTCACAGGAAGTCTCAGACGTTAGTCAATTATTAAGAGTCATAATATCAAATTCTAATCTCAAATGCACCAGCAGAAGTGAATGTTTGGTTTCAAAGAAGTTAAAGTCATTACATAAAGCAGAACATTCATAAGTTAGTGATTTAAGGCATAAGAATTGTTTTTAAGAGATAATTTCTTCTCTCCTCGGGACTTAACTTTACTGAAACTGGCACATTTCCAACAGTTAGAAAAATGAAAATGCAATTTGGACAAGTTATATCCTGTCTCATTGAATTCTGACTCTTCAAGTCAGATTGAACTTCCTTTGACACCTTTTGCTTATGTACTATATACAGTTTCTGGGTGTTACTAACAGTTGTCCTAGCCCTTCCTCTTTCCCAGGAGCAGTTGTGTCTCAGAAACGAGGAAGGTATTTCCACTTTGTGTGTTGCTTACAAAGTTTCTCAAATAGCTAGTTTCTGTACTAATTTTCTAGGCAAGTCACCAAATCATAAAATCATGGAACATTTTGCGTTGGGTCCTATTTAATTAATTCTTGTAATTGCAAGTAAAGCAAAGTGCATTTTTGCTGTAACGAAAAAACAGAAGCATAGCAGCACAATCTGAGGACAGTAATTTTAATGTTCTTGCTGCTAAAAATAGTCATAAATAAACCATTTAAGCCAAGATAATACAAAGATCATAAATACCTGTTATTTTAATGTTACACGGAAGACCAAATGGATACTTTCCTACAACTCCCACTTGACCATTCCAGTTGAATTCACATCCCAAATCAAACGGCTGTTCCATGAACTAAAATAATGCAGAACAATTCAGTTTATTGATGCATATTTACTTGCTGTTTGATTTTAGTGCTCCATTACTGCTGCATTCCTTATCTTGTTAGATGCTGCTTGAAGTCTTACTTTTGAATTAACATCTGTTTTTTTATAGGAAGAAGACAAATGTAAAAGTCTCACTGAGGTTCAGTTTCAGATCAAACAATCTTCCATGCCCGTCATTTTCTACCCTTAGTGTTTGCTGCTGTAACTACAGACCACGTATATAAAAAGCATCACACCCTGGTCTAGCATTTACAGAACTCCTCTCTACATGTGTTTAAATGCCTGTTTGACCCCATTTCTCATGGTTTGCAACCTGTAACTAGTGTGAGGAGAATTTTCTGATAGTGCATCCATTTGTATATTCAGATTGTAAATAGATTTAGGCAAGATCTCTATCCTTTGACACAATCCCCATGTACCGATGTGGCATTACATGAATATTAATGATTTGTTGCCACAACATAGCATGGATCGTATGAAAAATTTCACATTACCTGTTCAGTGATGGCCTGGAAGTTATAGAGCCTGACCAGACCCATGCTATACATTACAATAAGGATTCCATTAGAAACATCAACATCTGTAACACTATTACCAAATATCTGGAAAAAGGAAAATAAAAATATTCTATTAAGGAAGAAATAATTGAGAGAAAGCAAAATGGCAATATTACATACTTAATTATGCAATCAACTTCCTTTTTGACTCTGACCAAAACCTATGACCAGTGTTTTAGTTTAAGAAGGTTTCTGTAACTCATCTGTTCTGCTGAGTTTCTGTAATATTTTGCACTGAAATAACACCTGGAATTAGGTAAGTCATATTCTGCAAGCACATTTATTTTCTAATTGGTTTTCATTATGTCTTTGCATCATATTACCCAGTTATTACAAGAGATGAATAGATTTTATTACCTAGCATCCCACAGGAAGTCGATAACAAAGCTAACAGTTCAATCTAAAAGAACTGATTTTCTATCTTCTGTTCTTTCTTCATCACCAGGGTAAAATACTAGTCTAATCATGGCTCTATGACTGTGTACAGCTGTACTAAAACTACACTATCCAGCTGTCACAGAATACAGGATCCTCTTTGAATTCAAATTAGACACATACATGAGAAGCTGATTACCCTTTTAATGATTATGAAGTATTCATTTGTGCTACTCCTTAGAACATCTCCACTAAAAAAAACAAAACAAAAAAACAAAACAAAACAAAACAAAAAAAAACCTAGTTCTTAATATTTAATGAATAACAACATGCAAAGTTGGTAATTTTTTTCATATTGAGATGTTTGGAAGACTAGAGTTTTCATTTCTTATTCAGAATCACTACAAAAAGCAAATAAAATAAGGTTAAAACAGGCTTAAATGTAATTCAAGAAAATAAAACCCAAGCTGGAACACTCCTAATTCTTAACTCTATGAATGATCTAGTGATCAGTTTGTTCCTGAAAGGTGAATTCACCCCTTAGACCTTGTCTTTTTTTTAGCCTTATGTTGCTTTCTCAGTGCATTTGTTAGGTTAAGGTGCCAGACCCAAACTTTAATAGTCTCCCAGTCCCAAACTCTCATTACTATCCTTGAGACCTTTCTAGTCTGAACTTAGACTTTATTGTAGCATACCATCTCAGCAAAGCTGTGGCATTGGGTTCATTCTGCAGTCTTCAAGAGTAATCCTAATCCTAACTGTAACGTAACAGTTCCATCCCACTGATCCGTATCAGGTTTAGCATTGCATTCGCTGGTTGCTTCCTCTTCTGGGCGTACTCTCAAGTTCCAAATTCTACCCCAACCTTATTCCTAGTTGTAACAATTGCCCTGATGATCAGCACAGGCCCAGTGGATTAAATACTTTTCCTCATACATTCTGCCTGTTATAACCATGATGAATCCATCATGCCATTCTTAAGCAGATTGAAAATACCCTTGATACTGGTAACATTTGTATTTTTCAGTCCTAAATACTAATTTTGAACAGAAATGTGTCCTTAACCATTCTTGGGCCCAAATGAAAAAATGTTGAACCCCCCCTTCTTTCATTTACAGCTCATTCTCTTTTCACAGCCTCAGTCCAACCCAGCACCAGCTAAATAGCTCTGGACTCTAAATAAGACCATAGCTTAAAGAGCTTTGAAGACAGACTCTGCATGTTCACACTGTTCCAATTTAAGTTGTATCTAGAACTGCCTGGACTTTAAAGAGACATTTTTTCACCAGAGCACTAGAACTTGTCATCTGGCTTGCAGTCGCCTAATGTATACACTTACTTACAGGTCACAATCCAACCTCTGAAAGCTTGTTTTCTCTTGACTCATAAATCAATACACATATTTATATTTTGCCACCTGGTATCAATGATAATACAAGTTTGAAACATTTGTAACTGTATATAGAATTCATAGGCCATTACTAGGAACTGATCAGAAGCATATCTATCTTTAAAGAGGTAAAAAGAACTTTACAAACACTGCACAGTTCTCTAATTCTTATAATTTCTCTAAGTTCTGAAATCCTACACATCAAGAAGTAGTGCACTTACTACACATTTGCATTTTCTCTTCTGGAATTATTAATGTTCCCTCAACACAACTACCAGACACTAAAAGAACATTAGTGCTAATTAAAAAAATAGCGTCCAAAACATTAAGACTTCCAAAATCCTGAGACAATTGCCTGTATCATTCCTCTCATACAACTACATTATAGACTGAACTTACCTTTTTGTTTATTTCTAGCATTCCAACAAATGAAAGGGGTAATACTTGGAATACAGCAAGATGGAATAGTACAGACTGTTGAATACCTGCCTGGGAAGGAACAATATTGAACATAGTTGTTATACTTGTTATATTGTTATACTATACATCATCGTCCTCTACCATAGTAACAAAGCATAATGTCTCCATATCTGTCCTTGTAAATTTCTTGATTTTGTAAAAATGAGAATTTTTCAACAAACTTACCTGCCGTGATACTGCAGGCAGCTTATTCTGAGCTGACTTTATAACCATTACCTCTTGAGGAGTATCCCAGCTGAGGTACCTATTTGAGACAGGGAAGGCCTGTCTTAATCATTGTAAAATCCTTTAATAAAATTTTAAATAATAATATTAAAATAATTTTCATGTAAAATATAATCTATTGTAACTATGCAGATTTTGCAGTAATGCAGAAGCCACAGAACTAGATACCAGGAATGGCTTATTCCATAACAGGATTGTGAGAAAACTTTTAAAAGTATGAACATTCACTGTCTTATTTCTTTCCGTCCCTTCACAAATCACTGCTTTTTTATCCTTCAGTCTAAAGAAGATCATTACTTCTGAGAACTGAAAAAAAAACACACTCCTTGCCAGAAACTCTAACTGTTCTGCTTTTAAAGAAAAAAATGGATACCCTACAGAGAAGTTAAAAACTGCTTACTTTAACTTTTAAACATATTTTTCTTATGCTTTATAAGGTTTGTTTTATAGTTCTTAGAGGTCCTCTCCTGGTATGTGTCTATTGCAATATTAACAGCTATAAAATTGTCAGAGAAAAGCAAATAGTAGCCTGTTTTTCGTGGCTTTTGTGGAACTTGATACCAACTTTGAGACCATGATACTTTAGCTGCTGAAATTCTTCTAAAGAAAACAGAGTGCAGGAATAGTACTCTAGCAAAACTGCTACACAAATAGACCTGTAGTCAGCCATAGGATATGTATGAGTGGGTACCTAAGGTTTTATGAGCTGTCTTTCACTCCAAAAACTCCCAGAACTATGAGTCCTCTGATCTGCAGGGAGTGTTTCGAAGGTAGTATATTTCCACTATGTTCAATGACCAGCAGCAAAGAAGGATCTGGGAAAATAGGGTGAAGCTTGATGAGGAATTTGGGATTTCACCCTTTTTCTGCTCTGTATTTGGTGTAAATTTCCTCCAATAAAAAAAATAACTTCTACATCCTTTGGCTAAATATTATAGATATTGCCCTTCCCCAGGCATATATTATCAATAAAACAATACTTTCTGAACGCACAGAAATTGAACAGCTTAATATACTGCAAAATAAACATGATTCCCTTTCTCCATTTTAGTGCTAGTGATGGTTAGTTACATAAACCTTTGCCAATGTTAATACCTGAATTTGCAGCCACAGCCCGCAAGGTATATTTTTTCCAGTATTTCCCCACTGTCAGCAGAGAGACGCAGAAGCCAGTTCTGTGCTGTCAAGACTATGAGGGAAGATTTATAGTCTGATGGATTTGGAAGCATTTCCCCCTACATAACAAAAAGATTATCAGAAAGAAGTTTGTACCAGAAGGATACATAACATTTTAACATAGTAACGAGAAAACAAAAGTGAATACGTATTCCTCAAAAGCTAAAGGTGAAAAGCTTCCTCCTAATCACACCTGGATCTCTTAGTTCATGTCTGTGCTAAATTGCTGACTATTACATAACTAATCTGTTATCTTATTTTTTGGAAGGTAGTTATTTTTTCTAGAAAACACATCATTTAAGACTTCCTTTCCTTGCATAAGTGAAGTATAACTGCTTATTCATCTGATACCAAACTTCATGAGAAATCTATTTAAGTATTGCAAAATAAATCATTGAAAGGTAACTCAACAGGAACTGCTGAGGATGGTCCTCACGATGCTTGTTTTTTGGCACCTCAAATGTTGGGCTAATATTCCTAGTCTCTACGGACAGTGCACAAATGAAAAAACCCTCAAGAAAGGGAAATGTTCTCTACAGTCTAAGGAGTCCAGCCTCTTCATCTGTGTGCTCAAATTAGATTGTTAGAACTAAGTTGTATCAGCACCATATGAGTAACCATAAGGACCTTTTCTTATGAAACAGTGAAATTATACGGCAACCATTAGTTGCTTCAGAAAAGCTAAGAACAACAAATCACACCGTGAAGACTAAGGATTGTCAGTCTAACTGCTTGGCATCAAATGTGTCAAAATTCTGTAGATACGAAAAAAATTGTTGGTTTGAAGTCAAATGGAAAATCCACCTGTAATAGCAATGAACAGAGTTTTCAACTTGAACTGAAAGATATTCAAGTTGCACAACATTGCTGTACCATAGGCACTACAAAGAACAATATAGAAATCTTGTAGATTTTCTGTTTGCATTTTTCATTTATTTTTCCTCATATATTCCAGACTACATCCCAGCACAGTGTTGTCAAAATGTTAATAGTTAAAAATTCCACTAAGTAAATCAGAGGATTCAAACCAAACAGAACAACCTATGAATGAAGAAATACTTTTCCTTCTTCTCTTTACACTACTCAATGTAAAATGCCTAAATGAATCATACAACTTTTCTAAAAATTGACCTTTGAGAGAAAACAGAACAAGCTTCAGTCTAAATACTGAGGCAAGACTGACCATCTATGTACAGATATCTATGAATGTAAGGGAAGAAAAGAGGGAAATTATGTAATCTATTAACTGGAAACAGCAGAAAAGCTTTTGGACAGAGTTGCTTTAATAGGTCATTAGTTTATCTGCCTTTTTTTTTTTTTTTTTTAATGTTAACAGATCTGGTGAAAACAAACTCCCATGCTAACTCAAAAATAAACAATAGATTACAACAGAATTTATATTGTAAGGAATTAGAATTGCATAAACATAAAGGCAACAGCACTGTTTTTAAAATCTTCTACATTCATGAAGAAGCATTCAAATGCACTGTTGAGAAATTCAGGGAAGTAAACCTCTAAACATTCTCTCAAAATAAATAAACATAAGTTAAATGATTCAACTCTACAAAAATGTTGACAATAATAGTTCACAGGAAAAGAATGCTCTAAATCTATTCCACTGAAAGATATTAATTTGTTTTTCCACAACAATGCTCTAATAAAAAGTAATCTTACCAGTGGGCATTCCAATAATAAAGCATCTTCTATTTTTTCCGACTTAGAACACTTTGGCTTTTGATAAAGTATTCTTGGCTCTTGGGCAATGCTGGAGGAAAATGATTGCTGATCATTAGTTCATTTTATAAACTACTTTCTATCAACAAGTCATTTAACACACTTTTTCCACTTTTGCAAATCCCGTCTCTTTAGGCAAGTCAGAAATCTAGGTACCTTTTTTCCTTTGTAAATACTGCTCTCAAATTAAGCCTAATAATTAGGCTTAATATTAGGCTAATAATTAATCTCAAATTGCTCTCAAAATAAAGCCTAATAAGCAATATTAGTATAAAGTAATATCTAAAACCTAACCTTTTCTAATTTTTTAAGTTACTGTTAATAGTAATGTTCTTACTTCAGAGATAGACATTATAAAGAAAGCATATTCCAGAAACTAAGCATTATCCTGGAACCTTCCCCTGAGGCACTTTCAGTGTTGCCTTCTGTAGTATAAAGGCATGGCATCATTTACAAATATTTATTAAAAAAAACTACTACTAGAATAAAATCTTCATAGAGTGCACAGTTTTCCCCTTAGGGAGAGGATGAAACAAAAGCAAACCTTGAAAGGCGTTAGACAAGTTACCCCAGTACTGGAAAGCATTGAGACAATGTATGAATGAAACATGGGTAAGATTTCTATCTCGACCATGAGCAAATGACAGATTAATTTAATTAACTCTTAGTGGTTTACACCAACAAAATAATTTGTCTTTCATGTATCATATTACATTGCCTCAATACTGTTCTGACCACAGCTTAACAACACAGTTCTCCCAGTCCCTAATACTTCCTTCAAAAGCAGAAGGAGCAAGGACAAGGACTGGTGTAAACAGGACTTCCCATCCTCTATCCTGCCCTGTGCCCAGTGGTTTCTGAGCTGTGACTCTGCAGCAGTTCATGGAATAGGAGAGTGAGAATTCAGAGCAGTGAACTGACCTGCAACATGCATTACAAGCAGCGAGTACTCAGCACCTGGTACCTTTGTATGAACAATACTTTACTTCTTTAATGAAAAGTTTGTAGACATCATACCAACCCTGTTACAAAGGCTGATTTTGTGATGCATTGACACATTCACACCAGCATACTGCTGGTTAATGGATCACAAAGAAGGAAATTACTGTTCATTTGTCTTCTTAGTGCAAAATCCTAAAATGATGATCATCTGAAACTCCTGAAGTGCACTTGAAACCTAATGTTACACAGCATAAAAGTTACACAAAAACTTTCCTTCACCAAAGCAGTTGTCACATTAAGAGGCAAATGAATTTCAGTGTAATTTAACAAAGATTTATGTATCTAGTTATTTTTTGCTCATAAGTATATTCCGCTCAATTCACAAGGACTATTTGGAAGAGCAAAGTTAGCTACGTTTCTAAAAAACAGCGTCACAGTATTGAAACTATAAGCTGAGGTAACTTTTTATTGTAAATTTATTACCTGCTAATACAGCACTGGTAGTTGTCTAAGTAAATTCTTCCTCTTTCATAAGCAATAGGAGATGCAGAATGAGTCGTCCAAACATTCTTGAATGTAGTACTTCCCTGAAAGAGACAATGGTTGCAACAGTTGGTAACAAATTATACTTTGGGAAAATACTTGGTTCCCCCCCTTAGTAATTTAATTTAAATGAACCTTTCTTGCTGAATACATAAAGGATTATTTTTTAAACCAAATCAAAAGATCTTTTAGGGAAGATTTTTCTTTTAGAAGAACTAAATTAAAACATCTTTTTATTAGCTTTCGGACAGCATGTGCAATGCACATTTTGTCATTAACTTGTCTGCATTAAGACCGGCAATTTTAATACAAAATTTTTCAATCAAGAATAAAATCCTCCACTGTGTAAGTATGCACATATATCTCTTTTGTATGTAATTAAATTTACTGAACTTGATTCCATTTTGCTTGTGGTGAATTGTGTGAAAGGTATAAAAGACTGTTTATAGAGAGTTATTTGCAAAAGGAACCTGAAATGGTAATGGGATAAACTACTCGCATTGATAAAACTACTTGCAGGCATTACAGACACCAATAGCTCTGCAGCACTAACAAACATTTCTACAAAAAAAAAAAAAAAAGGGTTTTGTGTGAGAGACAGGTAGACTCATTTTTATTTCAATAACACTTGCACGCCCTTAGATCTAGCAGTGTAAGTGGCCATTTACCTGACTGCTGATAAATGAATTTTCAGGTAGAAGAGAATTGCCAGCTCACTTCCACACAATAGCATTCAGTGCATTTCTATCAGTTAACAAAATCACATTTAGTCTGTAAGTGGTTTGATTCTTATTTTGTCTGTAAGAAATTTCACTGACACTTCAGGGTTATGTTTACCTGAGGACCTCTGCTGATTATCTTATTTCATTGTGAAAACTTCATTCAACACTGATGCTCCCTAAAACATTGCAAATTTAATATTAAGTCACGTTAGAAGAAGAAATAAGCGATATAAAATCTCATATGAGACTGTTTCTACGTAGTGGGAATATTAGATATACAAGTGCTTCTCCTGTTTCCGTACGGCACAGCATTGTGTATGTTTCTAGGTCAGAGTCTCATGCAATAAACGCAACCACATCTCCCTCTCTTCAGCAAAACCCCGGCTCCTTTTTCCCCCAAACTTGTTAGCGCGACCCAGAGACTCGCGAGCCCCCCGCGCGGCGCCGCTACCTGGCAGACCAGGCTCCTGAGCAGCCCCATGTTCTTCCTCAGGGCGACCCCCGCGTCCCTGGCGTAGAAGCCGTGGGCCCTGCGGCCCAGCAGGCGGCAGGCGTTAGGAGCGCGGCGGGCGGCCCCCTTACCGCCGGCGGGGCGCATCCCGGCGCCGGGCAGCGCTCGGCTTCCTGCGGTGTTTGGGGCCTCCCCGAGCCGATCGCGCTGCCCTCCGCGCCTTGCCCAGCGCAAGGGGACGCGGAGCAGGGCGAGGCGCCCCCCCAGGGACCAGTTTCCCCGTTCCGACGCCGCCTGCCCCGCGGCCCGCCGGGTACTGTAGTTTTCCAGGGGCGGAGAGCGGCCGCACAAGGACTACGCCTCCCGCGCCGCCCCTGAGGCGAACGGGACGGCGGGAGCGGGAGTTGTGGCGGCGAGACCGGCCGTGAGACCGGCCCTGAGGCACCGGGGCCGGCGTGAGGCGCCGTGAGCTCGGTGAGGGCCGCCGGGCGCTGCCCGTGTTAAGCTGCCTCCCGTCGCCTCGCTGAGGGGCTGAGGGGAGCGCGACGCTGGCGTACGGAGCGCGTCAGTGAAGTTAATTGCACCCGAGGGTTTTATTTTTTTATGTGAAAGCAGAAGAGGTTTGTTGGAGGTGGTTTAGCCGAGAAAGGCACCACAGCGGGAACTTATACCTCAGATCCGGGCCCCGTGCCCTGTGGGTGCGCTAGGGCCCCAGCTGTAAGGGCAAGGTGTTTCCAGGATCAACAGCAACTAACACTTATCTTTATATTTTTAGAGCTACATCCCCAAAGTTGTCATCTTCATCAACAGCACTTGCCGGCAGAAAATCCGGGCACGTGTGGAAAAGCTCGTTTTCCTTCCTTGCCAAAGGCCCGCATGGGGTAATGTGGAAGCTGCTCATCTTTATGTTTCCATAAAGTCTGTTCTTCAGGATCCCTCAGTGGGACCTGGCATCTTAGCTGGCGCTATCACGAACGAGAGATGCCTGAAGGGTGATGTTTTAAAGTTATTTGGATGAAGTGAGCAGGACATGCAGGCGCAGTGGTTGCAGTCGTACCACTGCAGAGTGGCTTAGGACAGTGTGTGCCACGGTGGATCTGTGACATTGGAGGTGACTTTGGAGCTGACAGGGTGGGTTGCACCTCTGCAAAGTCCCTGTAGGCATCCAGAGTCTTGCAGGGATGTAAATAAACGAGTTTATTCAATGTAAATTATGGATCATAGTAAAATCCATGTTGCTGTCTCAGTTCTCAACATGTTTAATGCTGGAAACAATATGTTCTGTGTTGAGACAAATCAGCTTTGGTTTGTTGTTACAGTTACATATTCAGTATTTTGTAGAAAGTAGGGTTGAAAAAATTTAGTAATTGCAAAACATCTTTGGAGACTTAAAAATCCCCTCACTATGTGTATATATATATGTGTGTGTGTGTGTGTGTGTGCACAAAGCGTTCTTTTTTTCCTTTCCTCCTTTTCTCCTTTTTTCTCATACGTAAGCACCAGCCAGCAGAGGGTGCACAGGTTAACTAGGAAGCCTTATTTCTGAGCTATGTTGATGGCTTCCTCTTGATGATAACCTTGCAAATAGGTTAGTTTGATAAGTCAGTTTTATGTTATATTCTGCTGAATAAATAACAGAAAAAAAAATCACAAAAAATGGGAAAAAAAGTGGAAAAGGGAGATAGTAAAGGATTGTGCAAAATACTTATGGTTTAAATGCCATATCCTACAGTCTGAGAATTCAACCTTTTCTGTAAAGGTAAACAAATGCACAGGTATTTGCAGAATTGTAACCTAAAGAATCACTTGTGAATTTGGTGTCTTTGTTATGCAATATTTAACATATTTGTACTGAGTGACCAGTATCTTCCTAATTTTAATAATATTTATAGGTGTTTTGTTTCTGACCATGCCTTTAGTAGGCATTACAAACACAAAGTGGAACAATCAACACTGGAAATGGTATTATAAATAGATTTAGCACAAAAGTGTTAATTCCATTCCAAGAATGATTCTAAGATATCAAAGTATGCATTTAGCTTCAGTTGGAGTGAAAGTATTTTTCACAAGTTGGAAGTATTTTGTTCAATTAGAATACTTTATTGAAACTTCATTTTAAAGTCAAAGTAGTCTTTGATGGTGAAGTCAGGACATCTCTTCTCCATTATAAATTGAAATGATGTAGTTTCAACGAAACACTTGTCCTAATCAAAACAAAATCTTCAAATATTAAAAAAATACAGTAAACAAGTGTAAGTAAAATTGCTAAATTTTGGATGCAAGTTTCTCTCAGAGCATTTTATTACCTGCTTTGGCAAGTGAAAAAGGAGCTCAGGTTAGTTTAGGATGGGACTAATTATGTTTGTCAATTACAGCAATTGAACTGCTATATTTTTTTCCATATAATTAATTCAAATAAAATACTTCAGTTGGTTGTTTCATGTTCATGGCACCCACATTAATTTACTAAAAAATCACTAAATAAAACATGTCTATATTTCTCAGATACTAGTACCTTTCTTCCTTGTTGGCCATTTGTGTATCAGATCTTGCAACTGCCATTATTTTATGGTTAGTTGCAAAATGTTTTTGCCCTGTTTTCATTGTCTTAAGAACATACTTACTACTGCAGTTGATTCCCTCAGCATTGGGGATAAAGCTTCTTTTGCTCCCAGATAATTAGGTTCGTATACCAACGTGAACTTTCATACAGTTCGTAGTCTCAGTTGAAGAACACATTCTCCCCTTTTTGTGAGAATGGTGCAGTGGTTCCTTCTTAAAAATAAAAGAATAAAAATGGAATTATAAAACCCATAGTTTAATAAGATATTGCAAAAATGGTTTATATAGCAGAATAATTTCAAGAAGAGTATCAAGAGAGAATAGCGGCTAAGAACAATTCTCCATGAATACTAAATTAGGAAATTAAATAGTAATAATATTCCTTAAACCCTCAAGGATTTTTAGTACTCTGCTTGTCCCTCATAGTAGTCCATCTGCTTTCTTTTTTAATAGTGATTATGTAATACAGCCATATATTATTTTACCACAAATAATGTACCTTTAAGTTATGTTGCTAGTTTCCTAGATATGCGATGCTTAGCATAAATGTTTTCAGTAAATAAACAGTTTTATCTATTGTTCTTCCTCATCCCACCTTCCCACTACTACTATAAACTATTTGTTCTTTCTTTGATCCTTTTTAACAGGCTACCTGAAAGTTAAACACACTCTTCTTACTCGACATTTCTGTATACATGGTTAAAAGTATATCTACTACAGGTCTTTTGTTTTGTTTGTTTTTATCTGCTGCTTTAAAAAAAATAAATAACTGTTGCGTCTCTACAGGAGAGATGTTGTTTCTCTTTATTAATTAAAATATATATGTATTTGTTTTTATTTTCAGCTTGGTAGTCAGTGCTCTTCAGTAATTTTACATAAGTTGCTGTGTGCCTACAGGGATACCTGCATCATTCTCATTGATGAGGTATGAGAAGGAAAAACAGGGTTTTAGATCTGTTGAGTGTGAGAAGTTGTGAAATACCTTATTCTTACTGTTTCAACTGAGCACAATTTTTTGAAGTATATCATTAAAAGACTAACTATGAAGCCTCAAGAGAGCATGTTTAGTCACTTTCTAAAATAGTCTAGCATTAAATATTCATTTAACCAATTAATCTGGTTGACAGTGCAGTTGTCTCCTCCTCCTCCCCCTCTCCCATTTTGTTTGGCCTAGTCTTGGGCTATGGTTGGATCTCAGAAATATTAAGATGTGTGTGTTTTAAGAATGAACACTAGTTATTCATAATTATACCTTTAGTGTGAGTATCATTGTAAGGAATTTTTCACTTTGTGTTCATGATCACTCCTTTAACACTTGCATCTGTTTTGTGTAACTAAGGTGTTCTGAATTTTGGTGGTGTTTTATGGTGATGAAATAGGTCAGTATATGCTTTATAGGAGAGCATTTGGATTTGACTGTCTAATGTTCTGCCAGTGAACTTGTAGGTGCAAAATAGAAGTATGTTGAATGAAGTTCATTGTTTCCAGGTTACCCTTCTGTAGAGAAATGTAACATAATCTTGCACATACTCTTCCTATATTGGGGCCCTTTTTTTTTTCTTTATACTGATGACTCTACAGGTAGGCTCAGTGACTGCAGATCGAAGGAGTTGTTAGCTCTGTAGTGAGAGATCAGTCAGATGTCAATGTTCTCATCCAATAGGTTTGTTGAAACTAGATTCTCAGACTACGAGGGATTATTTTTGTTCTGACATCTGTTTCAAAGTTGATACCTCTCAAGGATTTTACTAATCAAGTGGTTTACATGTGTTTTTGTGTGAATTTCACTGTTTAAAAACAAAATTAGAACAGTTCTTTTCCCCTGTATTCTTATTTTTATCTCTGCGGATGTAACCACTCAGAGTTTTTAATGCCAACATCAATTAGAAATGTTTAATTTGTGGTCTATGTGGCAGATGATACATGTACCTGCATGTCCACCTTCAAAAAGCTGTACTAAAAATCCTGTTAGATTGTTTGAAGAGAGGAGGATTTTCTCAAGGCTGATCTATGTTTGTAACAATAACAAAATTTTAAAGGCTAAAATGCAGTGCTCTACAGTGGGAAAAAAAATCTACCATTTTGCTTTTGAGTGTGGTCACTGAGTGCATTGCTTCCTTAAAGCTTTTTTTTTTTTCTTTTCTGAAAAACAGTTAAAGCTTGTACAAAACAGGCATTTTCAGTGTAATGCGGTTTCATGAGAATATCCTTAAAGGTGAAGGTTGGATTGCTTGGACTGATAATCAGACTGAAAGCTTTCCTGACTGTGGCTGTGAACAAGGAAATTATGTCTTAATTCTTTCAGACAACACTTCTCGCTATGTGATCATCCTATCTGACAAAGAGAAGGGGTTGTTGTCTATTTCATTAACAAAATCTATTAGAGAAACAATCAAGGAATGACTCCCTTCTGAAAATGAAAATTAGGCTTCCAAGTAACTTAAATGCTTTTTGGACCTTCCAGTAGCCAGATTGCCCATTAATCTCATGATCTTCTGATCACTAACTCTTAAGGACATGTGAGTGCTTGTGCCTTGATATTTATCACTGGATGCAACAGGAAAGTTAACTCCCCCACTTACCCCACTGTCCTTATATATTTTTTTTTTGATGTTTTAGAATTTATTAGCTAAACTTGTGCAATTATCACTCAGGATCATATTCTCATAAAAAGAGCTACATCTCTGGATTTTTACTGATGCTGGATCATTTTAGTCATCTGACTATATAATT